GTTCTGCTGCTGCGACAACTGACTCAAAGGTGGACAACCCATGAATCGCTTTAACTTCTGCTATGTCCGACTTCAACCGCTCGAGTTAGCGATCGCGCATCTTTGCTTCCGTGATATTGGCTATCTCGTTGCAGACGCTCAAGAACCGTCGTGTATTCTCCTGGACGCTTCCTATCTGACGGAAATGACGCAGACGCTTGCTAGCAGCTTCGGAGGCGTTCATCAAATTGAACCTTCTTTTCAGCGCCTCTACAAATCCTTCCCATGTCGTCGGAACCGTGGTAACATCTAAAGCGAAACTCCCTAAGCTCGAAGTTGCAGCTGCATGCCCCACGCCCTGTTGATGCCCGTCTGTGTGAGCCTTTTCTTACAGCAGTCTGCGTGAGTTGGCACCACCACTCCAAGGTCGCGCCCCTCAGCAGCGTAACGGAGTACTCGATCTGCTGCTGCGCGTCCGCCTCTTGCACCCCGCTCGCGGCGAAGTAGTTGTTGAGCACAAAGATCCACGTCCGCACGTTCGCGTCGCGTTGGCTTGGGTCGAACCGCTCGGGCTTCTGCGGCTTGAGCGCGCTTCGACGTTCCGGCAGCGTTTCCGCGCCAGTCGACGTGTCGGGTGCAGGAGATGGTGCGGCATGACCATGAGAAATTGACGCGAATTCACGAAGCTGTTGCATTTCAGCCCATACCTGACGATTTTCCAACGTCAACTGTTCGAGTTGGCGCATGAGTTGAGCAAGCATGTTGCCCATGTCGTTGGGGTGTTCATGGTCTCGTCCATCTTAGCTCGACGACTTCAAGTCTGCAAGTCGGCACCGCGAGACGATAACGTCGTAGTCTCGTCGTCGACGGTCGCTCGTTGGAAGTCGCTCCCCACGAAGGCTCTGATACCAAGTGTTAGGCCCGACGGCCTAATCCGCTAAAGAATTAGCGGGGTCGACTAAGTCGAGGATGAAACGCGACGGAAGACTTTGGCGAAAGAACTATTGGCGAAATAGGCGAAGAAGTTACTGAGTAGTTGAAGAAGAGTTGAATGAGAATTGATTGATAATGGCAAGAACAAGCAAGGTTGATATAGCATGCAAGCTCGAATGTCGGAAATTACTTCATGAGACTAGGAATTGAAGGCAAGAAAGGTAGAGTGCCACGTGGCACTAGGAAATCCAAGAAGATAAGGATAAGGATGAGTTGGATGGGTTGGGAAAGTACTGTTCAAAGGGAACAGTAAATCCCCCCTTAACAACGCTGGTGGTGAGTGGTGCTCTCATGCAGTTACGAGCTGCTCTCTAGGTGCAGTACAAGCTGTTGTCAGAATGAGGAATGAATGTTGCATTGATGTTGGTTGGGGTACATATGTCAAACCCTAACTTCTGTAACCCCTAAGACAAACCTCACTACAGGCTACAACATTTGACACACCCCCATAGCCTAAGTGAGGGGTGTCTAGCAAAAACAAAAAAAGAGTACGGTCACAAGACCAGTCCAAAAGAAAACAAAGCTCAGGGTGGATCACAACGTCACCACACTCTCTGAGCACAAGCAACAGTGGCCACAAGGCCAGTCCAAGAGATCACAAGTATATATAGTAAATGTACAGACGAAGCAGGCAATAAACTCAAGTCTACGCATGACTAGAACCTGTGTCAACAAGGCCTAACTGCACACAACACCTCTGGTGGTCACAAGGCGGAAGCGCCTTGGTGAAGATGTCTGCAGTGTTGGCCTCGGACTCTACAAACTCGAAGCGAGCCTGTCCACGCCTCTGCAACTCTCGCAGAAGAAAGTACCTGACGTGAATGTGCTTCACTCTGCTCTCCAGTCGCGGCTCACGACAGAGGAGGATCGACGCCTTGTTGTCAGTGAACAAGGTCGGTGCAGAGCTCGGCCGCTCACCAAGGTCGGCGAGCAAGAAGGTCAACCAACGCAACTCCTGTGCCGCCATGGCACCAGCGTAAATCTCAGCCTCAGCTGTAGAGGTCGAGACAGAAGAGGAGCGCGTGGAACGCCAGGAAACAGCTCCAGAACCCAGACTGAAACAGTACCCCTGAGTAGACCTGTGAGTCTCAGCGTCGTCAGCGTAAGAGGAGTCACAGTGACCAGTGAGTACGACAGACTGCTGCCCTCCAAGAACTAGCCCCACGCCTGATGTAGTCGCTAGGTACTTCGCCACCCTCACAGCTGCCGTCCAGTGAACAGGACGGTGTCTCCCTGGCGCAACAAAGCGCGCAAGGATGCTGAGAGGGAAGGCGAGGTCCGGGCGAGTACAAGTCATCAGGTACATGAGGCAACCCACAAGCTCTGTGTAGGGACCACTAGGCTCAAACGGCTCGTCAGGAAAGGGACCAGTGAGTCTGTGGTCAACAGCTAGAGGTGTGCGCTGTACGGTGGAGTGCTGAAGCCCGAACCGCTGAAGGACCTGCTGCACCATGTGTGACTGTGAGAGTGTAATGGTGCGAGCGGCTCTGTCCCTGGTGATCTGCAGGCCAAGGTAGTGGCGCAGCTCACCAAGATCAGTGCACGTATGTCTCTTCTGCAGTTCGGACTTCACGTCTGCCAAAGCAACCCTGTCCGGAGTGGCGAAAACGAGGTCGTCGACGTAAACCAGAACAAAGAACGGTGTGGAGCCACGACGAACGAACAGCGACGGGTCGGCAGAAGACGGCTGGAACCCAAGGTCAGAGAGGGTAGAACGCAGAGTGTCGTGCCACTCACGAGGGGCCTGGCGAAGACCGTAAACAGGTCGCCTCAGCCTCCACTGGGTCCCAGGAGGGAAGGTGCCAGTGAAGGCCGAGGGACGACGCAACCAGACCTCCTCGTGTAGGCTGCCCTGAAGGAAAGCAGTGGAGAAGTCGAGAGAGTGTAACTCGTAGTCTCTCTGTGCTGCTACGTGTAGTAACACCCGAAGAGTGGTCATCTTCGGGGTAGGTGAGAAGGTCTGAAAGAAGTCAACTCCCTCGCGCTAACTGAAACCTCTAGCCACGTAGCGCGCCTTGAAGACCGGGGGAGATCCCGGTGGCCGCTTCACCCTGTAGATCCACATGCCGTCGACTACGTTCGCCCCAGGGGGGGGAACCTCATCGACGTAGGTGCCTGTGGATCTGTAGGAGGCCATCTCTGCGTCCATGGCAGCTCTCCACTGAGAGGCCCAAGGCCCTGACACTGCCTCAGCGTAAGTGCGAGGAGTCGGAATGTCAAGGGCGTCGGGGTCACCCTCAGGGGCGAGGAGCATGGCACAGAGATGAGGGGAAGCGGCCGCCAGGAACTCTAGCTCAAACTGCCTGTCCTCTAGGGCGTCACAGCCAAGGGCAGACACACCCCCGACGGCCAGAGGACTGGTAGGAGGAGCAGCCACAAGCGTGGTGGCGTAGTCAAGGCGGCGGGTAGAGGCAAAGTCAGTAACTGCGGCAGTAAGAGCGGACACAGAGGACACAGAGGCACGAGGGTGAGTAACAAGAGAGGCGAGAACACGAGAGAGAACAGGACGGTACGTGCGGTAGTAGTCAGTGACAGGAGTAGGGAGCGACACAGTGCAAGCTGTGGGGGGAGGAAGCAGTGCAAGCTGTGCCTCAGTGCAAGCAGCGCGGTAACTAGCGTCGAGCGAGCGGAGGTGAGCGATCAAGTCAGCAGAGCGCTCAAACGAGGCAAGATCAGGAAACAGGAACGGGAGGAAAAGACGGCCGAGAGAGACAGTAGCGGGAGTAGAGTAGCGGGCCTTAATCGCAGTGAGGTACGCAGCAGCGGTGCGAACCTGAGTAAAGTGGACCTCCTCGGACTCAGGGAGGAGGCTGCTGAGTGCGATGCAGGCCGCAGCGTCACGCGACGTCCAAGCCGTCCGGTCAGCGCGCTGACGGGCAAAGCGAGCCGTAGCAGCGTCGTCAGGAGCAGGGCCTAAAGCTGTAGGCTCGGGGGGCTCGGGGAGGTCACCAGTAGCGTGTGACCAGAGGGTCTCGCCCCCCTGGACCTGACTCTCTAACAGACGACGAGCGCGAAGAAGCCAGACGGAAAAGTCAAGGGGTCTACCGTCGGCGTCGAAACGAAGAACTCGCGGAGTCGCCATAGTGAGAACGAACGCGAACGAACAGGCGAGTAACAACCGGGGGGGGAAGAGGACTCAGTCGCAGCGGAAGAGCGGGCTAGGACGACGGGCCAAGACGTAGGGTAGGGCAACGGGCCAGGGCCTAGGGTAGGGCGACGGGCCAGAGCCTAGGGAGGGCGACGGGCCAGGGCATAGGGAGGGCGACGGGCCAGGGCCTAGGAAGGGCGACAGGCCAGGGCCTAGGGAGGGCGACGCAACGGGGGAAAGGGCGGGAGCGACGCGACGGGGCAGGGCGACGCGACGGGACAGGGCGACGCGACGGGGCAGGGCGGCGCGACGGAGCAGGGCGACGGGACAGGGCAGGGCGACGCGACGGGGTAGGGCGACGCGACGGGACAGGGCGACGGGACAGGGCAGGGCGACGCGACGGGACAGGGCAGGGCGACGCGATGGGACAGGGCGACGCGACGGGACAGGGCGACGGGACAGGGCGACGCGACGGGACAGGGCGACGGGACGGGGGAGATGGCGCTAGGCTCGGTACTAGGCGCGGTAACTACGAAACTGGTACGAACGAGAGGTAGGATCAGGATCGGGAGGTACGAACGGAGAACGGAGGAACGGGATCCCACAGGATCCTAACCTAGCTGATACCATGTCAGAATGAGGAATGAATGTTGCATTGATGTTGGTTGGGGTACATATGTCAAACCCTAACTTCTGTACCCCCTAAGACAAACCTCACTACAGGCTACAACATTTGACAGCTGTTTGGGCAAGGCAAAAGCAGTAGGTTCTGTGCTCAGTAACACACCCTCTGAAATTGAACGTCACTAAGGGGCATGTATGTGGAATTCTGGAATAAGCCAGACTGGATGTTTGAACGCCTGGGATAAAACAATATAATCAGAAACACTGAAATGTTGAGGGGAGCGGTTTTCACTGCAAGAGGAGCCTAAGACCTAGTCTACTTGGCAGTTTGCTTTGCTTTGGCAGGAGAAACGCTGGAGGCAGGAGCCTTTGCGTTCAACTCGGTCCAGGCCTCAATCCATGTAACCATAGCATCCCCTAGCTTGGAGAAGTACGGGTCCAGCGACGAGAGCTTGTCTTTCACTTGCTTAGCAAGTTCCAGATAGCATTGCTCCACCGTTGTTGCCTCCTTGGACAGCTTCACTTGTTGGAAGAAGGGGATGATGTCTTCCTGCCAGAAGATACCCTTGTACTCCTTCTTCAGGTTGACGAACGGATTGCTAGCTTTGCTGTGCCAGATGTATGGCAATCCTGTCTTCACTCCAAGACCCAAATGGTCGCAAATCACCTGAAAGACAAACGCAAAACAGCAAGAATTCAGTAGTGGTGACTAACCAGACCAATAAGGGGGAAGGAAGCCACCCCAATGTAATGGAACATTGCAATGCCGCAATCGACGCTCCTGCCAACGATTTGCGGGCATCGCAACATGTGGAAGCACAAGTCGTGCCACGTTAAAATCCAAATTCACTAAAGCATAAGTGAATCTCGTTCGCGGAAAGGCGCACACTGCATTATAGGGTGGTTTCGTCCTTTCAGTTACGGTTAGTCCCTTGCAAACAGTTCGTTTTAAGTACCGACAATGCGGGTGTTATCCGTGTGTCGCTCAAACGACTGGAACGACACACGGGCTCAGAATTCATCCCCTTCAGGTTCCAACATGATCCTCTTGGGCTCGAAAAACACGCAACATACCTTAATGCACCAGCCCGCCCACATGTCATCGTAACGCCCAATCGGCTGCCCATCGCCCATAAGCCCGAAGTACATGGCTGGCCCAATGAGCTCCCGGTCGAACGCCAGATTCATCCCGCACATAGGGAAGAGGGTTCCCTTAGGGATAGTCATCACCGCATCGACGTATCTGCAAGACGGAAGCGAGGACAAGTTAGCTACATCCTTCAAAGGGTTAAATGCTATCAACCGAGGGACGTCTGCAATGGATACCTTGAGTTTCTCTCGCTTGGCTTGACGAGCTGCGTAGGTGCGTCGTAGTCAGGGATGTTCAGCCACAACCCGTGTGACACGGCGGTTGACACTCCTTCACGAAGGCTGAATGGGTAGCCTCGGACGAAGTCAGCACCCTCTCTGTACGGATCGTACAGCGTGTTGAAGAAGTAAGGAGTGGACGGGCTCAGCAGGTTCTTAATGTGCTGTTGAAGCGCGTTGATATCCTTTCCTGACGGATCTTTAGCAACCTGTAGATAACAGGACATGTAAGGGAAGACGCATGTCGTGTATTGAAATTCGTCACCATTCACGGGGGACTATTAACAGGAGGTATTGGAATCTAACAAATAACTGACAAGAAATCTGTGACAACGTAACTCGCAACGAAAGAACTTACAAAGCAGTCGTCGTCGATTGTGTAGATGTACTTCTTCTTCGACACCATGTAGCCGAAGCACCTACACGCACTGTCCTTGAACGAGATGCACGACGCTCTCGGGCCAAGGATCCGGTTGATGTCATTTCTGTTGTACAGCTCGTAGTCAAAACCCGAAGGGACCTTGATGACCTTGGTTGGATCTCCATCCTGGACTATGATGAGATGGTATGGCTCGAAGAACGGCCGCCACTGCTCGAGGAAATCGAGGTTGCGAATGGTAGGGATGACAATATCTAGCTGATCTTTCAGGGGGATATCGTCAGCCATGGCGTCTGAAATTTGCCAGACGAATATATCGTTGAAGAAAATAGGAGCACTCCTACACTGAGGAAGAAAGGAATGCTTGATGCTAGGAACTAAAACTCGGAGAATTCAGAATCCAGATGCGTTTGAGATAGTTTGAATGGTGGCTGAGGGAGATATACCAGTCCAGAATTGAGCGGGGCCACGCAAGCACAGGAAGGAAACAGTTAGGAGTCTGGACGCAGGTGATTGGGTTTGGTGGTGCAACGCGGCAGGCACCTAGGTTCGGTGCGAGCCTCGTGTCAGTCGAACGAACGAGACGGAAGCAGCCTCTCCGCCTGCGGAACCCGACAAAAGGCGGGATTGGCGAAGCGCATAGGGTCGCCTAGCGTAGGTCGCACCGTGTTCCGAAGGGAGGCACAGATACCACAGAACCGAAGACTGCACCGTTGAATGGCGCGCAACCCCACTATACGCTGGCTTCGCTCAGAACAAATTTGCCTATGTTCCTACAAAAATTGGAACCACAAAATGGTTTCATTAAAACCTCCATCCGGTCCAAAACAATTATTAACATTCTTTGAAGCCCATACGAAAGGAATATATTAGAACAAGTCATCATACGCAATCATTGAGCGCCACCCAGCACCATTGGAGCTACCACCAGCTGCAGCACCAACGCCAGCATCAGCATTACGCCATGCATTTCCTCCTGCCCCCAAATGAGCTTCCTGCCTGAAATGCTGATTGCCATGTGGCTCAACCTGATGGTGAAAGCCCATGTGACCCATAGGAGCAGGGCCCGCAAGCATGGGGACAGGGGCGGCACCTGACAGCACTGCCATGGCTGTAGCGCTGGCTGCTGCTGTAGCTGCCAGCATCTTCATGCGGCCATTCTGCAGCTTTGAGGAACCTTCCGCAAAGGAAAATCCCCCCACACCCTTCTTCCATTCTGGCAGAGACCCGTGTGCCCATGAAACCCGCACCTGGTGAAAAAGAAGGGGGAGTATATGAGGCCCCGCTGAGTGCTGCTAGCAGCAGCAATAGAATGGCAACCCTCAGACGGCACACATGGCAGTCATTTTTTGGAATCAATTTCGAGAATTCTCATAAGTGACTTCAAGTCAGCCCTCAGATGCTACACACGGTAACAGGGCAACCGAGGCCAGAAACCTTTCACAACTAAACTAACCTATCCATTCCAAAAGCACGTCCAGATCCCAACAAAGCCTCATCTCACCCGCTGGTCGCGGACAATGATAGTCGAGCGGCCGTCCTCCCCTGCAGCAATAGCAGCCTCGGCCTCGGCGCGCTGCTTGAACCCCACGAACCCGTAGCTCTGCAGCTCCACCATGCGCGCGTGCACCACCGCTCCGAACCGTGAAAACGCCTCCGTGAGCTCGGCGGCGGAGGTGGCGGGGTCCAGGTCGCCCACGAACACACGGTGCTGCTGCCCTGCTGCGCTGCTGCTCTCCTGCCCTGCGCCCCGGCCTCGGTTGCGACTGCCCTGCCTCTGCTGCCCGGCCTGCTCTTTGCGGTGGTCTCTGTAAATGTGGCTGCGGCTGTGGTGGCGGTGGCTATGGCTATGGCGATCATACTCACGGTGATGGTCGCTGCCTCTCTCCCTGTCACATTCTACTCCCTCGCCTCTGCTCCCATCCCTCCCCTTGTGCCGCTTCTCGTCCCCCCTCTCATACTCACACCCCTCCCTCGCTCCCCTCTCCTCGCTCCCATGCCTCTTCCTCTTCCCCCCTTCCTCCTCCTCGTCCCCCGCCCGTCCCCTGCCCCGCACCTCATCGTTCTCGCGATCGCCCTCCGCACGACCCCTCTCCGCGCTCTCCCCGCCCCGCGAGTCCCCGTGCACAGGCGCTGCTCTGCGGAGCGGCGCGGGGCGCTTGAAGCTCGCGGCTCTGCCCACCTGCGGCGCAGACGGCGTTGACGGTGTGGATGGCGATGCGAGTTCGGTGGCGGCGACTCCAGGTGTCGCTGGGGAGGACGGCGACGAGGCAGGCGACGAGGAAGCTTCCTTGGGGCTCGAACGTGCTTCCTGCTGGGAGGGAAGCGGGGTGAGGGTGAAGGGGAAGGGGTGTGGGGGTTGGGGGAGGTGTTAAACAATGCGGGCGGCTTGTCGAACCCTTGCTTACCTTGCTCTGCAAAAACATTACCATTTCCTTCACCTGCGACAGCATTCTCGCATCACTCGCTGCGACAATATCGCTCACCTTGCTCTGCGACGTTTTCGCTCACCTTGCTGTGCAGCATTATCGCCTACCTTGCTCTGCGACATTATCTCTCACCTTGCTCTGCGACAGCACCCTCCTCGCCTTCTCCAACGCCTGCTGCAACCGACCGCGCTCGTCCAAACCGTCCCTCCGCGACGCGCGCTCCACCGTCCGATCATCGTCGACCCGCTCCATCTCAACCTCCTTAGGCTTGCTCGCCTCTGCCCGCCCGCGCTCGCCCTCCCTCCCCTCCCTCGACTCCCGCTTCCCCGCACCAGCCCCGTCCTTCAAGCGCGCGGGAGACGTATTCGACCGCCTTCCGCTCTCCGCGCCCGAACCAACCGCCTCATCCTTTCGCTTCTCCCGCCTTTCCCTTTCCTCCCGCTCCTCCCGCTTCTTCCGCTCCTCCCCCCTCTCCTTAATCTCATCTGATCTCTCACTCGCTTCCCCGCCCGTCCGCCGATCGTCTATCGGCGGTGTATGCATCTCCCACCCGCCCTCCGCTTCCTTCCTTCCCTCGTTCCGCGAACCTTCCTTTCTAGTGCGTCTATGCTCCTTCGTATTGCGACGAATATCCGTTACATCCGCGTCGTCGGATTTCACACGCTCATCACGATCAGTGTGCTCATCGAATTTGATACGCTCCTCGCGGCTGCTCCCGCTGTCAGCACTACTCCCCCCGCACCCCTCGCTCTCCCCGCGCGGCGCATTTGGAGCGGCGCGCGAGACGTCGACGACCACGCCGCCTACCTTGAGGCGCAGCTTGAGCGGACGGCGAGGCGCAACGGCCGTCGCAGCCTTGCCGGCCTCCAAATCTGGATCGGACCCCATGGGGAGCGATGCGCGCTCACGCGCCGACTTAGCGGTAGAAATTGGAGATGGAAGCGCAGCTTCCAGTGACGCGACTGTCGCTTGCGGCGCCAATGGTGCCTTTCTCCACCGGGGCCCAGAGGTTAAAAACCGGCGCACACACGGACACCACGAGGACGGAAGCAGTAACAGCGCTTACGGCACAGAAGAGCGCCAACAAATCTCCAGGCAGCTAGGCTTACAAAACGGTTGGCGCAACTGAAGCAACTACGCAGTACTAGACAGCAAAAAAATTGCCCCCACCTCGTGTGGTAGGTTTGGGGAGAATTTGGGGAGAGGCACGGGGCTGTTTTGCAAACCCTGAACCTCCGTTATCACGCGTGTCGGCACGTGCATGAAACGCGATTTCCAACCAATCGGAAACGTCGAACAACATGGACACTAATTGGAACCGCTAAAAAATGGTGCGCTACAAGGAATAATAAAGTTGGAGCATTTAGGCGTCCCTCAAGTTGTCTGAGGCTACAATAAGCTCATGTGTGATTCCTGGCTCGTACATGGAATGACCTGCATTGGGGACTGATGTTGGGAACAGTGAAGGGAATAAAAATTAAAAGTAATAAATAAAAACATAACATGACAGCAGAACGTTGAGGTGAACTGAAAATGAAAGCGAGGAAACATCCAACAATACACGTACCAACTCGAAGTTGGGCTTCTGGCCATGCATGATGAAGGTCAATGGCGTTCTGCACAAAACACGACAAAAACCAGGAGAGAGTAAGATAAGAAATCTTGACACAGATCATCCTCAAGTGAGTACGAAGCAAATGCGACAGTTGCCGCGAGGAGGCTTACAACGAGGGGGCAGACAAAGTCATATCGGCCGTGCACAATGACGGTGGGGATGTGCCGGATGGCATCGATGTTGCATAGCAGCTGGTTCTCGGTCAGGAAGCCATCATGATGCTGCTCTCAGAGCAAACACATGGGATAGACACACAGCCGGGGTTGGTGTTTTTCATTAGCGAGGTCACGCTGGGACAGATATGCAATCAGTAATGCCATGAACAGAGTATGCTGTTGTGAATGAATGCATCCATGAAGAGAGTGTGTTACAGGGAGAGAATGGAGGGGTGGGTCGTGCCGGGTGCAGCAACTCACGAAGTAGTGGCACTCAATGCGTGCCTGCGCCACTGATCCCAATATGTGCGGCCCTCCCATCAAGTCCTTCCCTGCTGCATCGCTCATATCCTCCCTCCTCTCCTTCCCATCCTCTGACTCCCCCTCTCTCTTCTCTGCTGCTGCTACTGTGTGTGCAGGTGCGTGTGCTGTTGGTGCTGGTGCTGGTTCTGCGCCTGCTGCTTCTGGTGCTGATGCTGGTGGGGCTGGTGCTGCCGCTGCCGCTGATGGTGCTGCTGTGGTTTCCAGAGGAGGATCAGAACCAGAGGGGGAGGCTGGGGACGAGGAGGAGGACGGGGGTGCTGACGAGGGCGGAGATGAAGGGGAGGGCGGAGGGGGAGGGGAGAGGGGTGAGGGGGGGAAGGAGTAGGCGGAGCCATCCCAGGCGAGCAGGGCAGCGGGGGCGGAGGCGCTGGGGAAGTGGCTGAGCGACATCTCCCACCGCATCCATGCCCTCGCCTGGTGGGGTGGAGGGGGGGGGTGGGGAGTTGGCAGGGAGGTGCAGACGTGGGATGGTGATGGCAGCAAACTCCTGAGTCGACTCAAAGCGCAGCAGGGGCGGAGGGACTGCGGAAGTGGCTGAGAGACATCTCCCATGCCCTCGCATCCATGCCCTCCCCTGGTGGGTGAGGTGGCAGGGAGGCGGGGACACAGAATGATGAAGGCATGTATGTGAAGATGGTGGGACAACGGTACGGGCCACACAGCCCATGCTTCACCTGCTTTCCTTGCCGCACCCCGCACTGCCACGACCCACAGCGGGAGGCAGCATAAGGAGGTGGTGAGCAGGGCTAGGCCAGGTATGGATAATGCGACATGATGTGAGGTGTGTGAGTGGACTCACAGCACTGTCTAGTTTTGAGGCGCCTCAAAACTAGGCAGCATAAGGAGGTGGTGAGCAGGGCCAGGCCAGGAATGGACAAAGCGACATGATGTGAGGTGTGTTAGCACTGCCATGACTCACAGCACTGTCTCTGGCGGCTGCATCGGTGCTCATAAGCCTCTCGTAGAACGCAGCCACCACACTCCGATCCCCGGTTCCATTCCCATCTCCACTCCCACCGCCATCATCCGCGTCGCCTTCCGTGTGTGTTAAAGCAGGGGCGGGCAGCGCGACCATGAGGTCCCGCCACGCGAATGGGAAGAGTGCCTCTGCCCCGCCCTGCCAGGGGAGGGGTGAATGATGAGGGGGTAGGGCTGAAGTGGTGGGGCTGAACAAAACCACACATGCGCGTGTGTGGGAGCAGGCGAGGGTAGAGCGGCCATGAGGTCCCGCCACGCGAATGAGAAGACTGCCTCTGCCCCGCCCTGCCAGGGCGAAAGGTTGGAAAAGCATGTGCGGTGGGGGAAGAGTGAAGTGACCAGTGCGGGAAACATCGACATATCTCCTCCCAACACCAGAGAATGCTGGAATGAATACTGATCTCGGTGCTCTTTTAAAGGAGCCGTGTGCCATTGTAACGAGGTGACTTTTGAGTCGGCTCAAAAGTCACCTTGCTGGAATGAATACTGATCTCGGTGATCTTCTAGAAGGAGCGAATGCATTGGAGAACCAAGTAAGGCACACGATGATAGCAGCCCTTACCGGGCGGTAGAACCAGTCAATCTCTCGGCGCCGCAGCAGACACACCCCCCGCAGCACCATGCCTGCCACCCTCCCCGGGTGCGCCTGCGCGTATGCCAGCGCTAACGTTGTGCCCCAGCTGCCGCCCAGCACCACCGCCCACCTGGTGTGGACGCACAGGGCGGGGACACGATTGAGGGGGTGAGAGAAAGTGGGTGGGCGAGGGAGCGACAGTGAGGGAGTGAAATGATGGTGGGAGAGAGAGAGGGTGAGGGTTAGTGATGAAAATTTCGGTTCTTGCTCGTTCGAGAGAGCGAGAGAGAGAGAGGATTAGCCTCTCCCCTTCTACCCTCTGCCCTCTGCTTTCTGCCCTCTGCCATGAGTACTTAAGGCCATGGCGGCCTCTCCATCCCTCATTCTTTCAGTTAGTGCTGAAAATTTCGGCCTTCGGCCGCGCGTTAGGGATGGCAAGGGGGAACAACAAGCAGTAGTAGCTTAGGCAACCGATACAAGCAAGGCAAGCAAGAACACCTAGCAAGACGACGATGGAACGGGTCTACACGCGCAAGGGGGGAGCGCCTACATGCGGTCCGCCTCTACCGCAGCGAGCATTCCACTCGTGTTCAACCACAACTGGCGGACCACTAACACGGTGGCGCCTACAACGTCAACAGGAGTAACAGAGCCTGCTACAAGCGTCCTCAGAGCCAGGGCCGAGTCAGCCAGCTGGCTGGCCGAGGTTGCTCCCGACGAGGGCCCTACCTGCAATGGCGTTACGAGCGCGAATAGCGCTGACGCCGCCGCATGGCAATCAGCTCGCGGCTTCTGAGAGAACCTGCTCGGAGGGCTCACCGGCATGGAGTCAAATGACTCCTGAAGAATCTGCTCAAGGCTCTGCAGGGACGGCGCCAGCGACCATAGGCGGGCCAGGGTCGCCGTGGGAACTTCCTTCATCGGCGGAAGCAACGCAGACGCTCGGGCACGGTGAGACGACACGGCGAGATCACGCGGAGCAGGAAGAGGACATGGCGGAGCAAACTGAGCCCACGGCGGCCCGTCACCAGCGCCAACGAAGCCCATCCCCGCAGGCAGCAGCCGCGCTGAGCGCGCCGGGGATCCAAAAGGATTGTGGGGCAGGAGCGCGGAGAGAGGGACGGCGGGAGCAGCGCGAGGAGCTGATGGTGACGCCGACCCCGCACGCGAGCGATGAAGCTCCTTCTCCACGTCATCAAACCGATCCAGAAGACGGCGCTCCATTGCAGACGGCGCTGGACGCGCTTTTCCGCCACGACTGTCACCTCCCCGTCGCCCACGACGCGCATGCCCACTTGCGTTCGAGCGCACAGGCGACTGCGGGCGAGATGGGCCCTGTGGACGCTGGCGGCCAGGGAAACGGTCCCCGTGATGAGGGGAGTAGAGCCGTTGGCGCTTTGCAGGAGGGGACGAACGCGGAGCTGGTTGCCGACGCCCAGACATCTGGCGGGCGAACGATGACGATGCGAGCGGCGGTCACGGGATCGGCTCCGCGACGCCACGCGACGAGGCGAACGAGGCGACAGCGGCGAACGAGCCGCACCGTGACGATCGTCGCGGCGGCTAACCTGCTTATCGTCGCGAGCTGCCGAGGAGCGACGGCGAGGCGAACGCTCCCGGTGCGCCACAGCCTCTGCGCCGGAGCGCACGACTGACCCTGCGCGCGGGGGCTTCTGCGGTGACAAGGACCTGCCCGCGCGCGGAGCCAACTCGCGCCGCTGGTCCTCGAAGCGGCGGCGGATCTGATCAGCGGATGCCGGCGGAGCAACAGGCATGCTCGCGGCAGGGCGTGCAGGAGGAAGCGGACGGGGAGCGGATCGCTCTCCGCGGTGCAGTCGCGGCCCAGAGCGCCACGGAAATCCATTGGCAAACGCTCATGATGCTCCACTGGCACACGAGGAGCCGACAACGCCGTTCTCCCAGGCGCAACATGCGGAACCTGTGGCAGCTACCCCGCGGAGCGGACGGGGAAGCACGCGGGGGAGAGGCGGGCGACGAGGAGCGCGCGGAGGGCAGAGGAGCGCAGGCCAAGCGGGAAGGGGACCGCACAACCAGTTGCCAAGCCCAATCTGGTTGGGGGAGCCGGCGGAACGAGTCACGCGCCAGTCATTCGCCAGGCGGGGGGCGAGGGGAGGAACACTAGCGCAAGCGGGGAGAACCAGGGATATCAACACAGAGGGGAGTGGAGACGATTATATACCGTCAGATCTGAGGCAACCAGACAATCCCGACTCACCTCACGCGGAACAAGGAGAGGGGCAAGCGCAGCAATAGGAGAGAGGAACCGGCCGCAGACAGCATCGCAGAGCTCAGCTTCCCCCGGACCAGGCACTATCGGCGTCCCAGCTGGCCTCGTGGGAGGATCTTTTCCAGATCGCGATGACTTGGGACCTTACACTCCTAACCTCCACCACCCACCTACCAATCGTCCGCCGACTGCCGCCGCAGATCCTCAGCGACTACTCCACCTGTATGCTGGCTGCCCTACTTCGGATCTCCAAGCTGCCTAATTGCGCAGGAGCATGGCGGGTCCTCATGTTCCTGCCACGTCTCACGCTAAGACTTAGCCGGAGATCCAGCTCTAGGTGGAAACTGCTGCGGGAACAGATGCATCTATTTCGATGTGGCCACTGGACCCATGTACACTGACTATTTGGGGTCAATGCACCTGGCCGAACCACCTCAGCACCAACGTGACCCACTGGGAATCTGCTCACGTGCGGAGGGGTTGGTGAAACGGGGTAACCTGCGAAAGGCGTTAGCAGCCCTACCACCCTCGCCTTCAGCACCTGCGACAATTCCGACACTACAGCAGCTGGAATCGAAACACCCCCAACCCCAAAATGACCTGCCCGAGTGGGTGCAGTCCTACACCACACCCATGCAATTTTCAACCACTCTGGAACGCTTTTCCGACGTCCTTGGAGAATGCCCCAGGGGAATTGGGGCTGGCCCATCGGGGTCAACTTTCGAACACTACCGCGATCCAGCGCTAAGTAACATCGAGGTACTGGGGCACCTCCAGTCCGCCGTTACGCATCTTCTCTCGACAAATCTTTCCACTGAAGTCGCAGCTCTACTTGCCCCGTCCTGCCTTATAGCCTTCGCCAAACCAGAGGGGGGGGGGGTACGTCCCATTGCGATTGGAGAGTCATTGCTTAGGCTAGCGGCGAAGGTGGCGCTCTTAGATCTGCAAGGAGAAACGCGAAATTTTTTCCTACCTCAACAATTTGGCGTGGCAGTCCCTAGAGGCGCAGAATTTGTCATCCATGCTGTCCGAGACCTCACCACGGTGCAGCCCTCCAGCCTAGTACTCCAGCTCGACATTGAGAACGCGTTCAACTCAGTAGAGAGGAGCGCGTTCTTCAACGCACTCATCGGCTCCCCACTAGCTCCCCTAATCCCCTTCACACGCTCTTTCTACGCAGCATCTTCACCACTGCTGCTAGACCCATGCTTCAATTCCATGGCACTCACCAGCGAAAGGGGAGTCAGACAAGGGGATCCCCTCGGACCCCTGTTATTCGCAGCGTCTATCCAGCAGCACCTCAGGCATGTAGCAACGGAGCACCCGGAAGTCACGGTCCTCGCTTACGCGGACGACATAACCATGATTGGACTCGCGACGGCGATGCTAGAAGCTCTCAAGGAGCTCATGCCGCTGCTGGCACGGGACGGTTTCACCTGCAACTTTAGGAAGTCGTCGGCGTGGTCCACTGTGCCGCTAGGAGGTGACGTACTCCCCGAGGGCCTTCCCCTCACCCGCGAGGGGGTGCAGGTGTTGGGAAGTCTAGTGGGGTCGCAGAGCTTCTGCTCTGATTTTGTCCGCAGTACCCTGACAGACGCGGCAGCCCCCTTGGGCTCTCTAGCGTCCATCCACCCACAACACGCCCTCCTGCTACTGTCTCGTTGCATCAGCCGCAGAGTCAGCTACCTGCTGCGCACTACCCCAGCTGACGTCTTACCGCTCTCGGAATGGCACACATGGTGCGCCGAATTACTAATCACTGCCTTGACCGCCGCCAGCATTCAACCGCCACGCCGAGAAGCCGAGTTCAACTTCCTTCTCCGACAAGCAACTCTCCCAGTAGCCCTAGGCGGGCTGGGCCTTACGGACCCCACAACTGAAGCAGCATCGGCCTACCTGGCATCTACAACAGAGGCGCTACGCCTGCTCCGCTCCCTGGACCTACCGGCAACCGCGCCGCTAGGGGCCAACAGCAATGCCCTGCAACCGTCTGCAGCGCACTCCGTGACCATCCATGACATGGAGGGGCGACTGCCACCGCTGGCGCTACAAAACCTACGGGAGGAGCAGCAAACCCCGTCCCAAGACCACCTGCACCGCGCTCTCTCCCAGGAAGTGCACGCGGCAAAGGCCGACGCCCTAAGAGAGGAGTCACGCACAATACAGTCAGCCCCCGACATGGGCCACACACTCCGCCTAGTCAGCCTGAGAGGAGAGGGAGCAGGAGCGTGGCTGCAGGCACTACCCTTGACCCCGGACCTCTGCTTCTCACCGGGTCAGTTCCGAGCGGCCCTGGCCTTCCGCATGGGCATCCGACAGAATGTACCAACCGTGTGCGAGTGCGGAGAACTCGTAGCCGACTGCAGCCTACCCAACCACTTACTCCGCTGCAGCACAGGCCCCGACAGGACGCGCACACACAACCAGCTGGCCTTCGCCATGGCTAAAATGGCGAGGGAGGTGTAGCTGGTGGTATACCTGGAGAACGCGATGTACTCACCACCGGATGACCCGAAGAAGGCAGATGTGATTGTACAAGACCCGGACAGCGGAGAGACCTGGATCACAGACACCACTATCACTGACCCTGTGCTGCAGAACCGAGACCCCACGGCCCGCAAACCCCCAGGTTGGGCTGCAAGGGAGGCACAGAAGCGGAAGGAGAGGGACTACTACCGATACACTGAACACGTAGTGTTCTGCACCCTGGCCGTCGAGACCTATGGGGCAAACGCGCCCCCCACGACGGCTCCTGAAGATGCTGGCCACAGCAGCAGCTAGGAACCGCTTCAGGGCCAGCCCCTTGGCGAAATCCGCCAAGAAGATGGCCTGCCACTTCAGCCAGCGCTGGTCAGTGGCCCTCCAGCGCTCCCAGGCGAACGCCCTGCACACCAAGGCCAGGGCTGGGATTGAGGTAGCACACCCCCAGATGGCAGCGGACCCCTGGCCGCTGCACCTGGGGGACATCCTCCACACGCTGGAGGGCTAGAGGGTCACTCGTGGGGGGGGGGAAGAGGGGTGAGTTGATGGGCTTATGGGATTGAGGCTACCATGGATAGAACCGCATGTCTGTACCCCTGCTGAATTAATACAACGGACCATTTGAGGGTGAGGGAGTGAGGCACGGAGCCCCAGCTGCCAACCGAATGCACAATGCAGCAAGCAAGCACCAAGAGGCCGTCAACTGTCCGCGCACTGCTCCTGCACGCACGTCGCACCCTGCAGGCGTGGACCTTGTAACTCACGTGAAAGGCCACCCCAGCCTCTCCTGTCCACCTTATCGCCTCCAAGTCCCCCACGCACGAGCAGGTCCGTGCGGTTGTCCACCACGCACCCCGCAGGAGTGGACCTGATGAGTCAACTGGAGCAGCCACCCTCACCTGTCCACCTTGAGGTGCTCTCTTATCGCCTCTATGTCCCCCACCAGCAGGTCCGTGCGGTTCTCCACCACGCACCCCGCAGGAGTGGATTTGCCTGCCCCCCGCTGGTCGCACAGCACGATGCGGTACGCTGCCGGATCGAAGAACCGCGCGTGGTTGGGCCAACACCCCGCGCCTGGCCCCCCGTGCAGGACTGGTGGGGAGAGAAGGGGGAGGGGAGAGGTGCAAAGGAAGGGGTTGTGTGCAGTGCACAGAACCTGCTACTTGGGGTCCCCTGCAGGGGTGGACCTGCCTGCCCCGCGCTGGTCGCACAGCACGATGCAGTATGCTGCCGGGTCCAAGAAGCGCGCGTGGTTGGGCCAACACCCCGCGCCTGGCCCCCCGTGCAGGACTGGTGTGGAGAGGAGGAGGGGGAAAGCCGGGAGAGGCGGAAAGGGAGGGGTTGCGTGTGGTGCACAGTAGGTGCGGAAGGACTGGAGCGGGAGAGAGGCGGGAAGGGGGGAGCGGAGGAGGGGCGTGCGTGATTGAGAGAAGGGAGGGGAGGATGGGAGAGGGAGGAGGAGAGAAATAATAAGGGGGGAAGGGGGAAACATGGGAAGAGAGTCCAGACGTGGGATAGTCCCGAGAAGTCGAGGGTGCGAGGGGGCACTGACACAGGGCGGGTTTGCCGGCTGGGTTGCCATAGACGCGGTAGTAGAGCGAGTGGATGGCGGAGACCTTGATGTGCCCCTCCGCGTGGTGCGCGCCCGCGGGGTACATCCCGCGCAGGGGCGGAGGGGGACCCGGCGCTGTGGTGGGGGGAGGCGGAGGGGCGGTTTGGGCGGCGGATGGAGCGGAGGGAGGGGAGGGGGCGGGAGAGGGAGAAGGAGAGGTGGTGGGGAAGGAGGAGGAGGAGGAGGAGGAGGAGGAGGAGGAGGAGGAGGAGGAGGAGGAGGAGGAGGAGGAGGAGGAGGAGGAGGAGGAGGAGGAGGAGGAGGAGGAGGAGGAGGAGGAGGAGGCAGGGGGTGGTGGTTGCTTCCAGGCTACAATGGCGAAACGTCCTCGTCGCCTGCCATGCCACGTCGCATGCCTCGTCGCATGCCTAGTCGCATGCGTCGCGAACGGCAGTCCATCCACGATCTCCCCCCAATTCCTGACACCCCGACGCGCATCACCCCCGTACGCAGCCATGCCTCTCGCGACGCTGCTTGTCGCGCAGGGGCCATGGAAGGGGACCGCGGGGGACGGAGCCAAGGAAACGGTAGTTCTGTGGAAAGGCGGATCCGGTGTGCGTCCGCACGCAGCAGCGGCGCGTGTCGGACACGCGTGCGCTGCCCGCGTGAGCGCCATGGGACCGCAGCCGGTCGCGATCAGGCTTTAAATAACGTCAGGGGAGCAATGGCTTGTGATTAGCGATCGCAAGGTGCAGCTGACTGATTCGAAAGGCAGCTGATCATGCGGATCGTGTGTGAGAACGACTTGGGAGGATCATCATGAACCATGGGGATATGAAATGGCAGCAGTTTGCTGGTCAATCGTCAGAAGTGAAACCTCGAGGTTGCCTTTTTGGCGAGACCCGATATGGACTGTGGGATTGTCGTATTGTGCAGCTTTCGTACCTTGGTTACACGTTTACAGCGAGAATTTGGTTCTGCGGCCAGTTTTGGTAACTGCAATTTCCCACTTCGTCAGAGTATTTCGTCGGGCTTTCAACTCCCATCATCAGTCGTTTCCTTGCTTCTGTTTGCTTATGGGAGCACATCAATATCTGCTAATCTCGCTCGAAACCGCTGAAAAGCTTTTCACACCGAACGATAAAGTGGTATGCCGATCGAAACCGAAAGCCCCCTTCAATCTTGACTGTCCGGCACCCTTCAATCTTGACTGTCACACACCACCAGACTGGGTTTCAGCGAGTGCCTCTCTATTCAGACACTTCCAGAGCCATTCCTCCCACGTGGGCAGTTCTCTCCCCCTGAATCTCCCCACGTGCTGCCAAATCCACCCATGTGACTCCATCTCTCCCACTTTTCTGCCTCACTCCGCGCTTCATTGATGGTCGTTAGTCTGATCTTGCTTTGCGAGATCTTTCATTACTAGTGACTGAATAACCGCCACGTGGATGGATCTGCGGCAGAAGATCCTATCGACGGTGCACGACCACCGCCATCGCCCCCACAACAATGGTGACCCTCCGGGAACGAGTTTTTCAGAAGTAGAAGGTGCGCGGGAGTGTCAGAAATCAACACGTGAGCGCCATTGTTGGTCGTTGTAGACATTGTTGGGATAGTGTCGCACCGCGGAAATGCGAACGAGCCTCGTGTCACCGCTGGTATGTGTCTAGCACACGTGTGTGAATTCACGCCCACCGCGGCGCGCGCGGTTACGCTTCCCTCCTAATAAGAGCGCACTTTGCCGTTATCCTGTGGCGCGTGCGTGTGTTTGTATCGGGGGCTCATCAGACATTCAGGTGACGGCAACGGTGCCGACAGACACTGATAATGATGGGGGGAAGGCCGACGGTCTTCCGCAAACCGCGCAGCAGGGCGTGCAGCAGGGCAGTCAGAGGGGCAAATGGACGGAGCAAGAAGTCTGTGAGCCTCCTTCCCCCACCCTCCCCGCTCTTGGATATGCGCTCACGGTTTATCAAAGGAACGAAATTTCCCAGCTTGTACCTCCCAATCGCTTATCCTCTCGTTTCCCTTCCCCCTTCCTCCCTTGCTCCGCTCGTCCCCCCCCGTCTCTACGTCACAGCCCCAGCACCCAATCCTATCGCTTCCCTTCATGGCCTCTATTCTTTCTCCCCCCCCCCCCCCCCCTTTCCCCAGTGAGCGTGCTCCGCGAGGCCTCCGCGGGCAGCGCGTCCGCGCCAGCCGCCGCGCCGCACAGCGCCAGCTTCGGCGCAGCAGCAGCGGCCTTCCGCGAGGCGGGCGCAGGGGCGGCAGGGGCGGGCGGCAGCGGCAACCCGGGCGGGGCGGCAGCGGGTAGCGATGATGGTCCAACCCGCGTGCAGCGGTTTCTGATGCGGCTGGCGGTGGCGCTACACGCGTACGGCAGTTCTGCCGCCCGCACGGAGTTCCTGATCGAGCGTGCCGGGCGGCGGCTGGGCGTGGACGTGAGCGTGGCGGTGCTGCCAGATTTGATTCTGCTCGCCTTCAACCGCGTGGTTGGGGACGACACTGCTGGGTGAGATGCGGTGCAATGTGGTGGGTGTGGTGGGCGTGTGGTGGGTGGGATCTGTGTGCATGCTAGGCGTGGACGTGAGTGTGGCGGTGCTGCCTGCCCTCATGCTGCTGGCATTCAATTCAACCGCGTGGTTGGGGACGATACCGCTGGGTGAGATGCGGTGAAAGGTGTGGTGCATGTGTGGTGCTGTGGGTGGGGTTACATGTATGATGTATCTAATGGCACCGTATGAGCGGGGGGTGCAGCGTATGACCGGGCGGTGCAGCGTATGAGCGGGCGGTACAGCGTATGAGCGGGCGGTGCAGCGTATGAGCGGGCAGTGCAGCGTATGAGCAGGCGGTGCAGCGTATGAGCGGGCGGTGCAGCGTATGAGCGGGCGGTGCAGCGTATGAGCGGGCGGTGCAGCGTATGAGCGGGCGGTGCAGCGTATGAGCGGGCGGTGCAGCGTATGAGCGGGCGGTGCAGCGTATGAGCGGGCGGTGCAGCGTATGAGCGGGCGGTGCAGCGTATGAGCGGGCGGTGCAGCGTATGAGCGGGCGGTGCAGCGTATGAGCGGGCGGTGCAGAGTATGAGCGGGCGGTGCAGCGTATGAGCGGGCGGTGCAGCGTATGAGCGGGCGGTGCAGCGTATGAGCGGGCGGTGCAGCGTATGAGCGGGCGGTGCAGCGTATGAGCGGGCGGTGCAGCGTATGAGCGGGCGGTGCAGCGTATGAGCGGGCGGTGTAGCGTATGAGCGGGCGGTGCAGCGTATGAGCAGGCGGTGCAGCGTATGAGCGGGCGGTGCAGCGTATGAGCGGGCGGTGCAGCGTATGAGCGGGCGGTGCAGCGTATGAGCGGGCGGTGCAGCGTATGAGCGGGCGGTGCAGCGTATGAGCGGGCGGTGCAGCGTATGAGCGGGCGGTGCAGCGTATGAGCGGGCGGTGCAGCGTATGAGCAGGCGGTGCAGCGTATGAGTGGGCGGTGCAGCGTATGAGCGGGCGGTGCAGCGTATGAGCGGGCAGTGCACCCCTTGCATCCCTCCCCAGGCAGTGCACGCACATGCTGTCAGTCTCATGGCCGCGTACTGGCAGCTCCCAGCTATAGCCAACGCTCCTCTCTGCACCCCTCTGCACCCCTCTGCACCCCTATCAACCCTCCCCAGGCAGCGCACGCACATGCTCTCCGTCTCCCCTGATATGGATCTGGACAAGCTGGGGCGAGTGGATGAGTTGGCGCGCAGTGTGGGGCTGAGGGAGGCGCACAACCTCATGGCGGCGTACTGGCAGCTGCGGGCCATCGCCAACGCGCCGCCCACCTTCTCCCCGCCCATGCACCTGCTCGCCATGGCGCTCATGTCCGCCAGCGCTGCCGTGCTCTTCTTTGGCGGTAGGCCTCGCGTATTACGCCCATGCACCCCTCTGCACCTCTCTGCACCCCATGCGCCCATGCACCTCCTCGCCATGGCGTTCATGTCCGCCAGTGCTGCTGTGCTCTTCTTCGGTGCTGCGGGTTCCATACTCCTCGTGTGCACCTGTCCCTGCGCCGCTCGTGAGCCTTCCATGCACCCTGCGTGCGTCCTTTGCTCTGCCATGTAACCCCTTGCTCCCCACGCGCCCATGCACCTCCCCGCCATGCCACTCATGTCCTCTAGTGCTGCAGTGTTCTTCTTTGGTGCTGCGTGTTCTATTCTCCTCGTGTGCTCCTCCCCCTGCACCTCTCATGCACCTCCCATCCCATGTACAAGGCAAGCTTTCCCTGCTGTGCTCCCTTGCTCCCCATGCGCCCATGCACCTGCTCGCTATGGCTCTCATGTCATGTCCGCCAGTGCTGCTGTGCGCTTCTTCGGTGGTAGGCCTCCCATGCACCGCTTTGCACCACGCTGCGCCCCTTGTGGTGCAGTGCGCCCATGCACCTCCTTGCCATGGCTTCCATGTCCGCCAGTGCCACTGTGCTCTTCTTTGGTGCTGCGTGTCGTGTCCCATACTCCTCTCATGCACCTCCCATGCATCCTGAATGCGCCCCTTGCTGTGCGTGTAACCCCTTGCTCCCCATGCGCCCCTTGCTGTGCGTGTAACCCCTTGCTCCCCATGCGCCCCTTGCTGTGCGTGTAACCCCTTGCTCCCCATGCGCCCCTTGCTGTGCGTGTAACCCCTTGCTCCCCATGCGCCCCTTGCTGTGCGTGTAACCCCTTGCTCCCCATGCGCCCCTTGCTGTGCGTGTAACCCCTTGCTCCCCATGCGCCCCTTGCTGTGCGTGTAACCCCTTGCTCCCCATGCGCCCCTTGCTGTGCGTGTAACCCCTTGCTCCCCATGCGCCCCTTGCTGTGCGTGTAACCCCTTGCTCCCCATGCGCCCCTTGCTGTGCGTGTAACCCCTTGCTCCCCATGCGCCCCTTGCTGTGCGTGTAACCCCTTGCTCCCCATGCGCCCCTTGCTGTGCGTGTAACCCCTTGCTCCCCATGCGCCCCTTGCTGTGCGTGTAACCCCTTGCTCCCCATGCGCCCCTTGCTGTGCGTGTAACCCCTTGCTCCCCATGCGCCCCTTGCTGTGCGTGTAACCCCTTGCTCCCCATGCGCCCCTTGCTGTGCGTGTAACCCCTTGCTCCCCATGCGCCCCTTGCTGTGCGTGTAACCCCTTGCTCCCCATGCGCCCCTTGCTGTGCGTGTAACCCCTTGCTCCCCATGCGCCCCTTGCTGTGCGTGTAACCCCTTGCTCCCCATGCGCCCCTTGCTGTGCGTGTAACCCCTTGCTCCCCATGCGCCCCTTGCTGTGCGTGTAACCCCTTGCTCCCCATGCGCCCCTTGCTGTGCGTGTAACCCCTTGCTCCCCATGCGCCCCTTGCTGTGCGTGTAACCCCTTGCTCCCCATGCGCCCCTTGCTGTGCGTGTAACCCCTTGCTCCCCATGCGCCCCTTGCTGTGCGTGTAACCCCTTGCTCCCCATGCGCCCCTTGCTGTGCGTGTAACCCCTTGCTCCCCATGCGCCCCTTGCTGTGCGTGTAACCCCTTGCTCCCCATGCGCCCCTTGCTGTGCGTGTAACCCCTTGCTCCCCATGCGCCCCTTGCTGTGCGTGTAACCCCTTGCTCCCCATGCGCCCCTTGCTGTGCGTGTAACCCCTTGCTCCCCATGCGCCCCTTGCTGTGCGTGTAACCCCTTGCTCCCCATGCGCCCCTTGCTGTGCGTGTAACCCCTTGCTCCCCATGCGCCCCTTGCTGTGCGTGTAACCCCTTGCTCCCCATGCGCCCCTTGCTGTGCGTGTAACCCCTTGCTCCCCATGCGCCCCTTGCTGTGCGTGTAACCCCTTGCTCCCCATGCGCCCCTTGCTGTGCGTGTAACCCCTTGCTCCCCATGCGCCCCTTGCTGTGCGTGTAACCCCTTGCTCCCCATGCGCCCCTTGCTGTGCGTGTAACCCCTTGCTCCCCATGCGCCCCTTGCTGTGCGTGTAACCCCTTGCTCCCCATGCGCCCCTTGCTGTGCGTGTAACCCCTTGCTCCCCATGCGCCCCTTGCTGTGCGTGTAACCCCTTGCTCCCCATGCGCCCCTTGCTGTGCGTGTAACCCCTTGCTCCCCATGCGCCCCTTGCTGTGCGTGTAACCCCTTGCTCCCCATGCGCCCCTTGCTGTGCGTGTAACCCCTTGCTCCCCATGCGCCCCTTGCTGTGCGTGTAACCCCTTGCTCCCCATGCGCCCCTTGCTGTGCGTGTAACCCCTTGCTCCCCATGCGCCCCTTGCTGTGCGTGTAACCCCTTGCTCCCCATGCGCCCCTTGCTGTGCGTGTAACCCCTTGCTCCCCATGCGCCCCTTGCTGTGCGTGTAACCCCTTGCTCCCCATGCGCCCCTTGCTGTGCGTGTAACCCCTTGCTCCCCATGCGCCCCTTGCTGTGCGTGTAACCCCTTGCTCCCCATGCGCCCCTTGCTGTGCGTGTAACCCCTTGCTCCCCATGCGCCCCTTGCTGTGCGTGTAACCCCTTGCTCCCCATGCGCCCCTTGCTGTGCGTGTAACCCCTTGCTCCCCATGCGCCCCTTGCTGTGCGTGTAACCCCTTGCTCCCCATGCGCCCCTTGCTGTGCGTGTAACCCCTTGCTCCCCATGCGCCCCTTGCTGTGCGTGTAACCCCTTGCTCCCCATGCGCCCCTTGCTGTGCGTGTAACCCCTTGCTCCCCATGCGCCCCTTGCTGTGCGTGTAACCCCTTGCTCCCCATGCGCCCCTTGCTGTGCGTGTAACCCCTTGCTCCCCATGCGCCCCTTGCTGTGCGTGTAACCCCTTGCTCCCCATGCGCCCCTTGCTGTGCGTGTAACCCCTTGCTCCCCATGCGCCCCTTGCTGTGCGTGTAACCCCTTGCTCCCCATGCGCCCCTTGCTGTGCGTGTAACCCCTTGCTCCCCATGCGCCCCTTGCTGTGCGTGTAACCCCTTGCTCCCCATGCGCCCGTCCACCTCCTCCCATGCATGGGCCGTGCGATCCGCACCGCAGGGTATCCTCGCACGCCCCTCCCTCTCAACGTCGCATCATCCCCTCCCCCCCCTCCCCCTCCCCTCCTCGCACCAGGCAACATGTGGGACGGGCTGGTGGCGGCCATTCTGGGCTTCCTGGGAGGCGCCTTGGAGTATTGGGCCATCTCCAACTCACAGGTGCTCCTTATTCCACTCGCACTCACACATCCGCCCATTGCTCACCCTCTCGCCCTCCCTCACCAACAACAACGCCTCTGCTTTCCCTAAGTCCACTCGCAAGTCGCTGCTCTATCATGTCACCAGTCACCTCCATCCCCACCTCCTCCCTTACCCACCCCACCAGGCAGTGACGTCCATCCTCGAGTTCCTCGTGGCAGTGCTGGCAGCCTTCACGGCCAATCTGCTCGCATCCACACTGCTCAGCGGCCGCATCTGCATCTTCGCCACCCTCTTTGGCGCCCTCGTGTGGTTCCTCCCAGGTCAGACGCTCTGCTTCTGCCAGCCTGCAATCTCCTCATGATACCCCTCTGTCTCGTACCACAATGCTCCATTCCATCTGCACCTCTCCCCGTGTGCTCCATGCTCCATGCCCCACCCTCTTGACCGTGTGCCCAATGCCCATGTCTCCCCCACCTTCCTGCTTCTCCTACTCCTGCTGCCCTGTGTCACCTTCTCTCTCGTCCCCTCCCTGTCTCTCCCAGGTGTAACACTCACCTTTGGCGTGAACGAGCTGGTAGCGCGCACACAAGTGACGGGCACAGCAAGAGTGGCAGCGGCCATATTCACGTCGCTGCAGATCGGATTCGGCATCTCCGTGGGAATGGGGCTTTGCTTCTGGGCCGCCTCGCCCACTGCCCTGTCCGACTGCCCGCCCTCCAACCTGCCCCTCTGGACCAACATTTTCTGGTGCGTGCTTGTGCTGCGCTCTTCCATGTACCTGTTTCTTGTCCCCCTCCCCGCGTGCTCGTCCGTTCAACTCAATGTATCTCCATGGGCGTGAGGCTCTGCTTCTGGGCCGCATCCCGCACTGCTCTCACTCACTGCCCGCCCTCGCACCTGCCCCTCTGGACCAACCTCATCTGGTGTGTACCTTGCTGCTCTGCTCTGCTCTATCGCCATGTCGAGAATCCGAGTGCTTCATTCGCTTGCGCCCCTTGTTCCCTTGCTTTCGGCACTCTCATCGAGGCTCTGGTGTGCCACAGGCGGGAAGCAAGGCAGTGCACAACCCTCCCTCCCTCTGCTGCATGTCGTATGTGCAGTTGCTGGTGACCCCTAAGCCAAGCCCCTTTCCGCACCATCTCCTCTCCCCTCCTCCCACCCCAGGTTCGCCATGTACGTGGTGGCGAACAACGTAAGGTGCAATGCATGCAGCCCCTTCCTCTTTGCTCCATGCATCATGCGCGCTGCTTTTCCCACGCCCCACCACCCCCCCAACCCCCCACCCGTCCCCACCCCAGGTTCGCCATGTACGTGGTGGCGAGCAACATTCGCTGCAACGCCCGATTGGACCAGTGGGACGGGATGACGCTGGTGGCACTCGTGGGCTACGTGGTATCAGAGCTCGCCTACCGCAACATCGGCAACGACACCGCTTCCGTTGTTGCTGCATTTGCCGTCAGCACGTCAGGTGGGTTTTGAGTCGGCACAAATGTCACATCGGCTCAAGAGTCACCTCGCTCGTGGGCTACGTGGTATCAGAGCTCGCCTACCGCACCATTGGCAATGACACCGCCTCCGTCGTTGCGGTATTCGCTGTCAGCACATCAGGTGGGTTGGAATCATTCCTTTGCGCCCTTGCTTGCGCCACATCACATGAAAACAGAACATGTCTGCGACTCCTTGCCTTCCCCCTGCCTAGTACCTACCTCTCTCTGCCCATCCCCCACCTTGCCAACTCCACTCTGACACCTTCTCTCAGCTCTCTCCTCTCTCCCCCTCCCGCCTCCCCCACCAGGCACGCTCTTGTCGCACTTCGCTCAGGAGTTCCCTTTAGCGATGAAGATCTCTGGAATCCAGCTGCTCGTGCCGGGCGGCATAGGTGTGCGTGGCGTGGCAGCCATTCTCAACCAGGACGTGATGTCGGGCATCGGGTTTGTCTTTGAGATGCTCACGGTCGGCCTCGCCATCACAATCGGGCTCATTCTCGCGAATCTCGTGCTGCCCGAGTCCATGTTTGCGCATGGTAGCCGCCCGCATCATAATAAGAGGAGGCTAGCCGCGGATTTACGGGCAGATTCGATGGCGCATGGTGGGCTTGGAGGGCGTTTGGATGGGGCGAGGGGGAGGGATGAGGCGGTAGGGAGAGGATTTTGTGCAGATTCTGATGGGGGTGCGGGTGGTGGTGGGGTTAGAGGAGTGTTGGCTGGAGTGCTGGGTTTGGCTGGGTTGAGGAACCGGGGCAATGGGGAGGATAGGTTAGCTTCTGCGTTTTTGCCCCAGGTGAAAGAAGAGGAGGATTCGGTAGCATTCTAATAATAGTATATAGTAATAGTTCCGATGATTGATGTAATGGCTGCAAAAGTAGGCTTATTTGTTGGTCCTATCCAGCATTGATTTGCTTGTCTAATGCAGTTTTATCTGTTCCGGGAATGGTGCTGCTTGTTATGATAGTAACCCTTGTTTTAGCGAGGAACGGTTCGTCACATCAGGCAGCACGATTGTCGGTTTCTGGGCGGGAAATACAACTCAACAGCCGCACGTGTTTCTGGGGTGTAACTGTTGACTTGATGGAATGAACAACATGCGTTGTGCTCCTTTCGTGGCAAGCCGCGTATTGGAGCTTGCCAGGTAATCCAAAACTTCTCGTTTCGAGCCCTCGATGCTGACGATTTCTGTCCCCAAACCCACGGTGCTGGCGGAATATTTCTTCGGCCTATCGCGGCGCGCAAATGCAGTCTCTTGTTCGTGAGCGACTCGGATGTCAATGGCTTATTGTGCCGATCACTCCCACTTGAGCCCCGCTGCTCCGAAGGGGGGGTTGGACTTACCAAGAGGCACACTGCAGCTGAGATCAGCAAATCATTTTAGAGAAGTGAGAAGTAAAATAGTTTCCCTAAGACCTCAGCAACTTGGAAATTGCTCTTGTGACTAATTGTCATTGTTCGCCCTGGATTTCTTCATAAAAAGCAGAGAATTTAGCAGAATTTACAGAAATTATACGTCACTTGTTAGGCTAGAACATGACTTCGCGCGGAGCGCCCATCTGTGCACTGATGCGCACCGGCGTCATCCTCGCACTCGCGGGGCTGCTGGTGGTTTCGCGCGTTAGCTTACTCGCATCGGCGCAACAGGCGGAGGCTCCGCGAGGTATCACCGCGAGTGGGCCGATAGGACACCACCTGGCGGACGCGGCGAGGGATGCGGCAGAGCAGGTGGCGAAGCGGCAGCAGCGGACGACGTCGCCCAACCTTCGCCGCCTGGCGCTCTTCGTCGACCCGCTGCCGATCCCGCCCGTCGTGGACACGTCCAAGCTGCCGCGTCGCAACGGAAAGTCGCCCAAGGTCACGATCGGCGTGTACAACGTGAAGCGGGTGAGTCACTCTCCCTGCCCTCCGCTGCTGGCAACACGCACGGCGGAAAATGTAACACGTGTGTCATCCGCCCCAGTCTCCCTAGGCCGCCGCCTTTCTCCTACATTCACTGCATTCTGCATTGCCACTTACTTCCCCCCCAGCCAGGTCCTACATTCGCGCCTACATTATCAGCTCTTCGCGTCAGGTCTAATCTTTTCCGCCCCCTTTCCTCCCCCCCTCCTCTTCCTCCTTCCCCGCTCGAGCAGAAGTGTCACCGCGACCTGCCGGCGACCAAGGTGTACGCGTTCGGGCTGTCACGCAAGGCGGCGAGCGTGCCGGGACCGACGATCGTGGCGCAGCATGGGCAGGAGCTGCGCGTAGAGTGGGTGAACAACATCACGGACAAGCAGCACATGCTGCCTCTCGACCGCACGCTCATGGTTCCCAACCTCAAGCTCGGTGGTGTGCCCATCGGTGAGTGCCGTAGGGCCGAAGGGATAGTTTCTCTGTGTGGCGTCCCAGTAAGGTTTTCCCATCGTGGAGTGGGCGAACAACAACACAAACAAGCAACACATGCTGGTGGTACTGATTCTCTCACGTGCGCTCTCTTCCCCATTTATCGCCTTATCCCCGCCCCCCCGCAGCCGTCCACGTGCACGGCGCGCAGGTGTCGAGCAAGTCCGACGGCCATCCGTTCGCGTGGTGGACGCACCAGGGAGAGCGCGGCCCCACATTCGCATCGAACACGTACACGTACCCGAACGGGCACGCGGCGAGCACGCTTTGGTACCACGACCACACGAGCGGCATGACGCGCCTCAACGTGCTCGCCGGCATGTTCGGCGCGTACATCATCCGCCACCTCGAGCTGGAGGAAAAGTTCAACCTGCCCGCGGGCAGGTACGACGTGCCGTTGGTGATTCAGGACCGCGCGTTTGTGAAGAACGGATGGACGTTCCTGCCGAGCCAAGGCGTGTCCAAGGTGCACCCGCACTGGATGCCCGAACACTTCGGCGACTTCATGACCGTCAACGGCAAGGTTCGTCGCTCGTCACGCTTTCCGTACCCTCGATTTACCTGCTCCAAAAGCATTTCGCCTGTTCTCGCACTGGAGATTGCCTCCCGATTTTTTTCCGCTGCAAACGCCCAAGCACCACACTCACCATCTCTCTGGTACGCATTTTCACCCCACGCGCGCAGGTGACCCCCTACATGCGCGTGGAGCGCCGCAAGTACCGCTTCCGCATCGTCAACGGCGGCACCGCGCGCTTCCTCGAGCTCGTCTTCCGCGCGGCCCCCGCAAACACCGATCTCACCCTGCGGAACGCGCTCTCCGCGACCCCGCAGCTCCCCTTCGTGCAAGTCGCCGCGGACGGCGGGTACCTCAACGCGCCCGTACCGCTCCGCCGCTCCGTGCTGGGTCCGGGGGAGCGCGCGGACATCGTCGTCGATTTCTCCAAGCTCCCCGCGGGCACCGCAGTATACCTGACTAACCGCGCGCCCGCGCCCTATCCTGGCGGTGCTGTTCCGCAGGGCGACCTGCGCTTCGTGATGCGCTTCGACGTCGTGCCCGCGACGTCCGCCGACACGACGCGCGTGCCAGCCACACTCCTCAGCATCCCAGCCGTCGATCTCACCAGAGCCGTCAATTACAAGGCGCCGCGGATCATCAGCCTCACCGAGGTGGAAGATCCCGCGTCCGGCGCGCCTGAGTCGGGGCTGATGGAAGGGAAGCATTTCAGCGCGCCCGTGACGATTAAACCTAAGTTCGGGACTATGGAGGTATGGTACATAGTCAATCTGTCGGAGGATACGCATCCCGTCCACATTCACTTCGCGCCGCATCGCATTCTCTTCCGCCGCCGCCTCAACACGACGCTGGTGGAAGAGAAGAAATGCAGCATGGCGGGCGGAAGCTGCTTCGTGGGGCGCGCAGTCGCGCCGCACCGGACGGAGCGCGGGCGGAAGGACACGAGCAAGGCTCCGCCCGGGTGGGTGACGGCGGTGGCTGTGGATTTCGCGCCGTGGCAGGGCAAGGCGCTGTCGTTCGATCCGCGCGAGGGGCCAGGATACGTGTTGCACTGCCACATTTTGGATCACGAAGATAATGATATGATGCGCCCCTTCGTACTCGTTTGAATGGCGCGAGTGTTGGCCTATCTCGTTATACATCACAGGGGACGTGTACAATAGGAATGCATGGTAGGGTCAACACTGATGTGATATATTAAAATTCGCTGATGCCAACAGCAGTTTAAACGGAACATTAATATTACACCATTGTTTACTATCCGTCCAATAAACCAGATGCATATAGTGCCAATAAATGACGTCATTGTGTGCAATACATCAAGCGGTCTATGGCTGCTGCCAGCGTGCCTTGATCTCCTCTGACGCGTTCTCCATCCGATTAACTGTCTGCGTGATTATATTCCCCACCGCCGTCTGCTGGATCATCTGCCCCACGCGGGTGGCGAGCGACGTCTCTTCTGCGACCTGTGAGGCGTCGGTGCGGCGGTGCCACTGTAGCTCGAGCTGCAGCTGGCCCTTGGAGTCGATGAGAGGGTAGAGGTCGTTGATGCGCCCGTTGATCACCACGTCGCTCAGCTGTATCTCACAGTACCCCACCGCCTCCTGTGGGAGAGGACGGGGGAGGAGGGAGAAGGGAGAGGAGGAGGAAGAGAGTGGGGGAGTATGGTATGGGGAGATGATGATCAGAAAAGCTCAGCGGGATGGGTAGTGGAGGTTGGGCGGTCCTGAACAAGCGACAGCAGCAAGAAAGGCAGGAGGCCCTTGGAGTCAATGAGGGGGTAGAGGTCGTTGATTCGCCTGTGGATGTATCTCACAGTACCCCACCGACTTCTGTGGGATAGTGGGAGGAAAGGAGGGGCGGGGCAAGTGCATGAAGGCACGAGAAATGCCAGAATTGAACAGGCAAGAGGGAGAAGGACGACAAGAGAAGCATGCGGTGGTGTAGAGGCTGGCAAGTAGGTGAACGGGAGTGTGGGTGGGGGCCTGACCTTGGAGAGGACGGAGAAGGAGGAGAGGGACTTGGGGGGGTGAACATGAATGGGGGTGAACATGAATGGGGGTGAACATGAATGGGGGTGAACATGAATGGAGGTGAACATGAATGGGGGTGAACATGAATGGGGGTGAACACGAATGGGAGTGAACATGAATGGGGGTGAACATGAATGGGGGTGAACATGAATGGGGGTGAACATGAATGGGGGTGAACATCAATGGGGGTGAACATGAATAGGGGTGAACATGAATGGGGGTGAACATGAATGAGGGTGAACATGAATGGGGGTGAACATGAATGGGGGTGAACATGAATGGGGGTGAACACGAATGGGGGTGAACATGAATGGGGGTGAACACGAATGGGGGTGAACACGAATGGGGGTGAGCAGGAATGGGGGTGAGCATGAATGACGGTGAACATGAATGGGGGTGAACATGAATGGGGGTGAACATGAATGGGGGTGAACATGAATGGGGGTGAACATGAATGGGGGTGGACATGAATGGGGGTGAGCATGAATGGGGGTGAGCATGAATGGGGGTGAGCATGAATGGGGGTGAACATGAATGGGGGTGAACATGAATGGGGGTGAACAGGAATGGGGGTGAACATGAATGGGGGTGAGCATGAATGGGGGTGAACATGAATGGGGGTGAACATGAATGGGGGTGAACATGAATGGGGGTGAACATGAATGGGGGTGAACATGAATGGGGGTGAAGATGAATGGGGGTGAACATGAATAGGGGTGAACATGAATGGGGGTGAACATGAATGTGGGTGAACATGAATGGGGGTGAACATGAATGGGGGTGAACATGAATGGGGGTGAGCATGAATGAGGTGAGCATGAATGGCAGTGAAAATGAATGGGGGTGAACATGAATGGGGGTGAGCATGAATGGGGGTGAACATGAATAGGGGTGAACATGAATGGGGGTGAACATGAATGGGGGTGAACATGAATGAGAGTGAACATGAATGGGGGTGAACATGAATGGGGGTGAACATGAATGGGGGTGAGCATGAATGGGGGTGAGCATGAATGGCGGTGAACATGAATGGGGGTGAACATGAATGGGGGTGAACATGAATGGGGGTGAGCATGAATGGGGGTGAACATGAATGGGGGTGAACATGAATGGGGGTGAACATGAATGGGGGTGAACATGAATGGGGGTGAACATGAATGGGGGTGAACATGAATGGGGGTGAACATGAATAGGGGTGAACATGAATAGGGGTGAACATGAATGGGGGTGAACCTGAATGGGGGTGAACATGAATGGGGAAGGAAGGAAAAAGAAACATGCGGCAGTGAGCAGACAGCCAGGCAGGCCGACAGGCAGGCGGGCGGGCAGGCAGGCAGGTAGTGGGGGAAGCAATACCTTGGAGAGGACGGAGAAGGAGGAAAGAGACTTGGAGAAGACTTTGATGTGCAGCGTGTCGCTCACTGGTGGCTTTTCCAGGAACACCTCGAACGGCTCCTCCTCAAATACCACGTCCGCCTGCTTCTTGTAGTGCTGGCACAAGAGGAGGAAGAAGGTTGGAAGGGGGAGGAAATGAAGGGGAGGTGGATGGGAGGAGGGTGCTCAACGGGAGTGAGAAGGGGAGTCATTGGAGAAGGGGTTGCAAGAGCGGGGAGGAGCAGCAGATGCTTGGCAGTCCTGGCTGCAATAGTTTCAAGGTTGCTCAAGAATCCTCCTCTCCCACCTGCCTCTGCTCCAAGACCCTCTGCCCCCACCTGGCGCTGCCACTCCTGGTTGCGGAAGTGCAGCACAACAAGGGGTTGGCGTGGTGCCGTGCCTCCAGCCCCTCGCCGCGCTTCACCCCTCCCTGCTTCACCCCTCCCTGCTTCACCCCTCCCCTGCTTCACCCCTCCCTGCTTCACCCCTCCCCTGCTTCACCCCTCCCTGCTTCACCTCTCACCTGCTTCACCCCTCACCTGCTTCACCCCTCACCTGCTTCACCCCTCACCTGCTTCACCCCTCACCTGCTTCACCCCTCACCTGCTTCACCCCTCACCTGCTTCACCCCTCACCTGCTTCACCCCTCACCTGCTTCACCCCTCACCTGCTTCACCCCTCACCTGCTTCACCCCTCACCTGCCTCTGCCATTCTCCATTTCTCCCACGCAGCTGGTTCTGCCCACCCTCCCCTGCCTCACACCTGGTTCTCCCCCCCACCTGGCTCTGCCACTCTTGGTTGCGAAACCGCAGAACAACGAACGGGTTGGCGTGGTGCCGTGCCTCCAGCCCCTCGCCGCGCTTGAGGATCACGCGCAGCAGCCCGCCCCCCACCGGCACCCACTCAGGGAACGCCTCCGCCTCCTCCTCCTGCATCTCCTCCACATCCATTGGCGGGGGCGCCTCGTTCTCTCCCAAAGGGCTGGTGGGAATGAGGGCAGGCAAGGGAACAGAGGGGATTGAACGGCCTCGTCCCCCTCGCCTTCGCCTCCGCCTCCTCCTCCTGCATCCCCTCCACGTCCACTGGTGGTGGCGCCCCCAGAGGGATGATGAAAAAGGCACGACGAGGGAGAGAAAGGAATGGGGTGAGGGCGACACGCCGGCAGAATTGTTGGTGTCTGGTACTCTTGCCACACTCATTCCATCCACCACGTGCCATCCACCACGTGCCATCCATCACGTGCCATCCACCACGTGCCATCCACCACGTGCCATCCACAACGTGCCATCCACCACGTGCCATCCACCATGTGCCATCCACCATGTGCCATCCACCATGTGCCATGGCATGATATGTGTCTGTTTCACGCATCAAATGCCACATCATGCACGCACGCCACAAGCGCAGCAGCGAGCATACACCCACGTGTACAGCGAAAGCACATTTGAGTCAACTCAAAAGCACCCACGTGCACAGCAGGCGGAACCACACACTCCCTGTATCATGCCAGCTCCTCCTCCAAACCATCTGCCCTTGCCCCCCCAAGATGGCTGAAACGTGGCGCCAGGCGCAGTTCAAAGCTTTTGGGCTCGCCCACTGGCAGCTCGCTCCGCGGCACCTGCTACATGCATTCCACAGGAACAAAAAGGGAGCAGGCACTTACTTGTACAGCAGGCGGAAGCACACACTCCCGATGTCTCTTCGGCTCCTCCCCCCGGACTGTGCGCCCCCCAGGTCGCTGAAGCGCGGCGCCAGGCGCAACTCAAAGTCCTTTGCCTCCCCCACTGCCAGCTTGCTCAGCGCCACCAGCTGCACCCCCATCAGCCTGTCCGCCTTCCCCTGGAGAGGCACCGGGAAAATATGAGGGAGGAGAGAAGCAAGTACGAGAGGGTGTGAGAGATGGCTCTCCCTCTCAAGTATCAAAGTCCTTTGCCTCCCCCACTGCCACCTCGCTCAGTGCAACCTCCTGCACCCCGATCAGCCTGTCCGCCTTCCCCTGGGGGCATTCAATGGGAGGGTGGAGAGAAGTGGGTGGGTGAGGGGGCGAGGGGGGTGTGAGCGTTGGCTCTCATTCAGGCAGCTCAAAGCCCTGTTCCTCACCCACTGCTATCTCACTCACTGCCACCACCTGCACCCCCATCATCCTGTCCACCTTCCCTTGGGATGGGAAATGGGGCAGGATCAGAATGGCAGGAGCAGGCTTTAAATAGGGAGAGGGACGGGGGAGAGAGACGGGGATGGAAGGAACAAAGGCAAGGAAATGTGTCTCAACGTGTATTAAACCACAGCCATGCGCGCCCAGCCCACAGCCTCTTTTGAGGCGCCTCGAAACCGGAGAGACCGGGAGACCGGAAAACCGGGATACCTGGAAACCGGGAAACCGGGATACCGGGATACCGGGTAACCGGGAAACCGGGAAACCGGAATGCCGAGATACCGGGATACCGGGAAACCGGGATACCGGGAAACCGGGAAACCGGGATACCGGGATACCGGGATACCGGGATACCGGGAAACCGGGATACTGGGATACCGGGAAACCGGGAAACCGGGATACCGGGATACCCGGATACCGGGATACCAGGAAACCGGGATACCGGGATACCGGGAAACCGGGATACCGGGATACCAGGAAACCGGGAAACCGGGATACCGGGATACCGGGATACCTGGATACCGGGAAACCGAGAAACCGGGATACCAGGATACCGGGATACCGGGATGCCGTGAAACCAGGAAACCGGGATACCGGGATACCGGGAAACCGGGATACCGGGAAACCGGGAAACCAGGAAACCGGGATACCAGGAAACCGGGAAACCGGGAAACCGGGATACCGGGATGCCAGGAAACCGAGATACCGGGAAACCGGGAAACGGGGATACCGGGATACCGGGAACCGGGATACCGGGAAACCGGGATACTGGGATACCGGGAAACCGGGATACCGGGATACCGGGATACCGGGATACCCGGATACCGGGATACCAGGAAACCGGGATACCGGGATACCGGGAAACCGGGGAACCTGGAAACCGGGATACCAGGATACCGGGATACCGGGATACCAGCAAACCGGGAAACCGGGATACCGGGATACCGGGATACCTGGATACCGGGAAACCGAGAAACCGGGATACCGGGATACCGGGATTCCGGGATGCCGTGAAACCGAGAAACCGGGATACCAGGATACCGGGATACCGGGAAACCAGGAAACCGGGATACAGGATACCGGGAAACCGGGATACCGGGAAACCGGGAAACCGGGAAACCGGGATACCGGGATGCCGGGAAACCGGGATACCGGGAAACCGGGAAACGGGGATACCGGGATACCCGGATAACGGGAAACCGGGATACCAGGAGACCGGGAGACCGGGAAACCGGGATACCGGGATACCGGGATACCCGGTTACCGGGATACGGGGATACCTGGATACCAGGATACCGGGAAACCGAGATACCAGGAAACCGGGATACCAAGATACCGGGATACCGGGAAACCGGGATACCCGGTTACCGGGATACCGGGATACCGGGATACCTGGTTACCGGGATACCTGGATACCTGGATACCGGGATACCGGGAAACCGGGATACCGGGATACCGGGAAACCGGGATACTGGGATACCGAGAAACCGGGATACCGGGATACCGGGATACCAGGAAACCGAGATAACTGGATAGCGGGATACCGGGATACCTGGATACCGGGATACCGGGATACCGGGATACCGGGAAACCGAGAAACCGAGAAACCGGGATACCGGGATACCAGGATACCGGGATACCGGGATACCTGGATACCGGGATACCCGGTTACCGGGATACCGGTATACCGGGATACCGGGAAACCGGGATACCGGGATACCTGGATACCGGGATACCGGGATACCGGGATACCGGGATACCGGGATACCGGGATACCCGGTTACCGGGATACCGGGATACCTGGATACCTGGATAGTGGGATACCGGGATACCGGGATACCGGGAAACGGAGAAACCGAGAAACCGGGATACCGGGATACCGGGATACCGGGATACCTGGATACCGGGATACCCGGTTACCGGGATACCGGGATACCGGGATACCGGGATACCGGGATACCGGGAAACCGAGAAACCGGGATACCGGGATACCCGGTTACCAGGATACCGGGATACCGGGATACTCGGATACCGGGATACTGGGATACCTGAATACCGGAATACCGGGAAACCAAGATACCGGGATACAGGGATACTGGGATACCGGGATACCGGGATACCGGGAAACCGGGATACCGGGAGACCGGGAAACCGGGATACAGGGATACCGGGATACCGGGATACCCGGATAAGGGGACACCGGAATACCGGGAAACCGAGATACAGGGATACCGGGATACCGGGATACCCGGATAAGGGGAAACCGGGATACCGGGAAACCGGGAAACCGGGAAACCGGGATACCGGGATACCGGGATACCCGGTTACCGGGATACCAGGATCTCTGGATACCGGGATACTGGGAAACCGAGATACCGGGAATCCGGGATACCGGGATACCGGGATACCGGGAAACCGGGAGACCGGAAGATCGGGATACCGGGATACCGGGATACCCGGATAACGGGAAACCGGGATACCGGAAAAACGGGAAACCGGGATACCTGGATACCGGGATACGGGGATACCCGGTTACCGGGATACTGGGATACCTGGATACCGGGGTACCGGGAAATTGAGGTACCGGGAAACCGGGATACCGGGATACCGGGAAACCGGGATACCCGGTTACCGGGATACCGGGATACCGGGATACCCGGTTACCGGGATACCGGGATACCTGGATACCGGGATACCGGGAAACCGGGATACCGGGAAACCAGGATACCGGGATACCGGGATACCGGGATAACGGGAAACCGGGATACCAGGAAACCTGGAAACCGGGATACCGGGATACCGGGATACCGGGATACCCGGTTACCAGGATACCGGGATACCTGGATAACGGGATACCGGGAAACCGAGATACCGGGAAACCGGGATACCGGGAAACCGGGATACCGGGATACCGGGATACCAAAATACCCGGTTACCGGGATACCGGGATCCCTGGATACCGGGATACTGGGAAACCGAGATACCGGGAAACCGGGATACCGGGATACCGGGATACCGGGAAACCGGGAGACCGGGAGACCGGGATACCGGGATACCGGGATACCGGGATACTGGGAAACCGGGATACCCGGATAACGGGAAACCGGGATACCAGGAAAACGGGAAACCGGGAAACCGGGATACCGGGATACCGGGATACCCGGTTACCGGGATACTGGGATACCTGGATACCGGGGTACCGGGAAACCGAGATACCGGGAAACCGGGATACCGGGATACTGGGAAACCGGGATACCCGGTTACCGGGATACCGGGATACCGGGATACCCGGTTACCGGGATACCGGGATACCTGGATACCGGGATACCGGGAAACCGAGATACCGGGAAACCGGGATACCGGGATACTGGGATACCTGGATACCGAGATACCGAGATACCGAGATACCGAGATACCGAGATACTGGGATACCAGGATACCGGGATACCGAGATACCGAGATACCGGGATACCGGGATACTGGGATACCGGGATACCCGGTTACCGGGATACCGGGATCCCTGGATACCGGGATACTGGGAAACGGAGATACCGGGAAACCGGGATACCGGGAAACCGGGAAACCTGGATATCGGGATACCGGGATACCGGGAAACCGAGATACCGGGATACCGGAATACCGGGAAACCGAGATACCCGGATACCGGGATACCTGGATACCGGGAAACCGAGATACCGGGATACCAGGTTACCGGGATACCGGGATACCTGGATACCGGGATACCTGGATACCGGGAAACCGAGATACCGGGAAACCGGGATACCGGGATACCGGGAAACCGGGAAACCGGGAAACCGGGATACCGGGATACCGGGATACCCGGTTACCGGGATACCCGGTTACCGGGATATCGGGATACCTGGATACCGGGATACCGGGAAACCGGGATACCGGGAAACCGGGACACCGGGGTACCAGGAAACCGGGATACCCGGATAACAGGAAACCGGGATACCGGGAAACCGGGATACCGGGATACCGGGATACCCGGTTACCGGGATACCGGGATACCGGGATACCTGGATACTGGGATACCGGGAAACCGAGATACCGGGAAACCGGGATACCGGGAAACCGGGACACCGGGATACCGGGAAACCGGGAAACCGGGAAACCGGGATACCGGGAAACCGGGAAACCGGGAAACCGGGATACCGGGATACCGGGATACCGGGAAACCGGGATACCCGGATAACGGGAAACCGGGATACTGGGAAACTGGGAAACCGGGAAACCGGGATACCCGGTTACCGGGATACCGGGATACCTGGATACCGGGATACCGGGAAACCGAGATACCGGGAAACCCGGATACCGGGATACCGGGAAACCGGGATACCCCGTTACCGGGATACCGGGATACCCGGTTACCGTGATACCGGGATACCTGGATACCGGGATACCGGGAAACCGAGATACCGGGAAACTGGGATACCGGGATACCGGGATACAGGGATACCGGGATACCGGGATACCTGGATACCGGGAAACCGAGAAACCGGGATACCGGGATACCCGGTTACCGGGATACCTGGAAACTGGGACACCGGGATACCGGGAAACCGAGAGACCGGGAGACCGGGAGACCGGGATACCGGGATACCGGGATACCTGGAAACCGGGACACCGGGATACCGGGATACCAGGATACCGTGAAACCGGGATACCGGGATACCGGGATAACCGGGATACCGGGATACCGGGAAACCAGGATAGCGGGATACCGGGATACCCGGATACCCGGATAACCGGAAACCGGGAAACCGGGATACCGGGATACCAGGATACCGGGATACCGGAATACTGGGAAACCGGGAAACCGGGAAACCGGGATACCGGGATACCGGGAAACCGGGAAACCGGGATACCGGGATACCGGGATACCGGGAAACCGGGATACCGGGATACCGGGATACCGGGAAACCGAGATACCAGCAAACTGGGATAACGGGATACCGGGATACCGGGAAACCGAGATACCAGGAAACCAGGATAACGGGAAACCGGGAAACCGGGAAACCGGGATACCAGGATACCGGGATTCCGGGATACCTGGATACCGGGAAACCGAGAAACCGGGATACCGGGATACTCGGTTACCGGGATACCTGGAAACCGGGACACCGGGATACCGGGAAACCGAGAGACCGGGAGACAGGGAGACCGGGATACCGGGATACCGGAATACCTGGAAATTGGGACACCGGGATACCGGGATACCAGGATAACGTGAAACCAGGATACCGGGATACCGGGATACCGGGATACCGGGAAACCGGGAAACCGGGAAACCGGGATACCGGGATACCGGGATACCGGGAAACCGGGAAACCGGGATACCAGGATACCGGGATACCGGGATACCGGGATACCGGGATACCCGGTTACCGGGATACCGGGATACCTTGATACCGGGATACCGGGAAACCGAGATACCGGGAAACCAGGATACCGGGATACCGAGTTACCGGGATACCGGGTTACCGGGATACCGGGATACCTGGATACCGGGAAACCGAGAAACCGGGATACCGGGATACCCGGTTACCGGGATACCTGGATACCGGGATACCGGGATACCGGGATACCGGGATACCGGGATACCAAGAAACCGAGAGACCGGGAGACCGGGAGACCGGGATACCGGGATTCCGGGATACCTGGAAACCGGGACACCGGGATACCGGGATACCGGGATACCGGGATAACCGGGATACCGGGATACCGGGAAACCGGGATAGCTGGATACCGGGATACCCGGATACCCGGATACCGGGAAACCGGGAAACCGGGATACCGGGATACCGGGATACCGGGAAACCGGGATACCCGGATACCGGGATACCGGGAAACCGGGATACCGGGATACCGGGATACCGGGAAACTGAGATACCAGCAAACCGGGATAACGGGATACCGGGATACTGGGAAACCGAGATACCGGGAAACCGGGATACCGGGAAACCGGGAAACCGGGAAACCGGGATACCGGGATACCGGGATACCTGGATACCGGGATACCGGGAAACCGAGATACCGGGAAACCGGGATACCGGGAAACCGGGATACCGGGATACCGGGATACCGGGAAACCGGGATACCCGGATAACGGGAAACCGGGATACCGGGAAACCGGGAAACCGGGAAACCGGGATACCGGGATACCGGGATACCGGGATACCCGGTTACCGGGATATCGGGATACCGGGAAACCGGGAAACCGGGACACCGGGATACCAGGATACTGGGAAACCGGGATACCGGGAAACCGGGAAACCGGGATACCGGGATACCGGGATACCGGGATACCCGGTTACCGGGATACCGGGATACCTGGATACCGGGATACCGGGAAACCGAGATACCGGGAAACCGGGATACCGGGATACCGGGATACCGAGAAACCGGGATACCCGGTTACCGGGATACCGGGATACCGGGATACCCGGTTACCGGGATATCTGGATACCTGGATACCGGGATACCGGGAAACCGAGATACCGGGAAACCGGGATACCGGGATACCGGGATACCGGGATACCGGGATACCTGGATACCGGGAAACCGAGAAACCGGGATACCGGGATACCCGGTTACCGGGATACCCGGTTACCGGGATACCCGGTTACCGGGATACCTGGAAACCGGGACACCGGGATACCGGGAAACCGAGAGACCGGGAGACTGGGAGACCGGGATACCGGGATACCGGGATACCTGGAAACCGGGACACCGGGATACCGGGATACCGGGATAACGTGAAACCAGGATACCGGGATAACCGGGATACCGGGATACCGGGAAACCGGGATAGCGGGATACCGGGATAGCGGGATACCGGGATACCCGGATACCCGGATAACGGGAAACCAGGAAACCGGGATACCGGGATACCGGGATACCGGGATACCGGGATACCGGAATACCGGGAAACCGGGAAACCGGGATACCGGGATACCGGAAAACCGGGAAACCAGGATACCGGGATACCGGGAAACCGGGATACCGGGATACCGGGATACCGGGAAACCGAGATACCAGCAAACCGGGATAACGGGATACCGGGATACCGGGATACCGGGATACCGGGATATCGGGATACCGGGAAACCAGGATACCGGGAGACTGGGATACCAGGAGACCGGGATACCAGGAGACCGGGAGACCGGGCTATCGGGATTCCGGGGTACCGGGAGACTGGGATACCGGGATACCGGGATACCGGGAGACTGGGATACCGGGATACCGGGAAACCGGGATACCGGGAAACCGGGAAACCGGGATACCGGGAAACCGGGATACCGGGATACTGGGAAACCGGGATACCGGGAAACCGGGATACCGGGAAACCGGGATACTGGGAAACCGGTATACCGGGAGACCGGGAGACCGGGAAACCGGGATACCGGGATACCGGGAGACCGAGATACCGGGAAACCGGGATACCGGGATACCGGGAGACCGGGATACCGGGAGACCGGGAGACCGGGAGACCGGGATACCGGGAAACCGTGAAACCGGGAAACCGGGATACCGGGATACCGGGATACCGGGAAACCGGGATACCGGGAAACCGGGATACCGGGAAACCGGGAAACCGGGATACCGGGATACCGGGGGAAACCGGGAAACCAAGAAACCGGGATACCGGGATACCAGGATACCGGGAAACCGGGATACCGGGATACCGGGATACCCCACCCAGCTTCGCTCCCAGGCTGCCCATGCTGCGTTCCTCTCACCGTGTTCTTGTCAAACACCTCCACGTGCAGCTTCTGGGTGGCGGGATCCAGCACTTTAAGTCTTAACTCCTCGTCCCCCCAGTCGGGGTTGAGGTCGTTGTCCCGCACACTCGACTCGCGGCTGCCCAGGCTGCTCGTCAGGTAGAAGTGCAGGTAGGGGTCGCTGGTGCCCACCAGCCCCTGGTTGCGGAGATTGCTGGCTCGCATGGCGGTTATTGTCAGCCATCCCACTGCCAGCCTAGGGGGTGGAGCAGGGCACACGGGGCACGCGTGAAGGGGCATGAAACAGCACATGAAGCAGACGGGTGGTGCAGAGGCAGAAGTGCAGGTAGGAATCGCTGGTGCCCACCAGCCCCAGGCTTCGCAGATTGCTGGCTTGCATGGCGCTTATTGTTAGCAACCCCACTGCCAACCTATGCCGCTCAGGGCCAAGGGGCACGAAGGATGGAAAGGGGCAGGGAGCAGGGTGCAAAGCGCAGGGAGCAGGAGGAAAGGGGAGCACATATGGGAATTGGGTGGTATGGGGTGGCAGAGCAGAAATAGGTCACACGAAGGATGGTGAGCAGGCGTTGAAGAGCAAGGCACTCACTTGGGCTCTTTGTGGTACAGCTCGATGGTCTTGGGCCACAGGTACAGGTCCGCTATAAGGGCAGGCAAGAGGTCAGTGTGGGCTGGACCACGAGGGTGATGTGAAGGAATGGGTGAGGGAGCGAGAACGGCGGTGGTGAGAGGGAGACTCACTTGGGCTCCTCGTGGTACAGCTCGATGGTCTTGGGCCACAGGTACAGGTCCGCTATAGGGGCAGGCAAGAGGTCAGTGTGGGCTGGACCACGAGGGTGATGTGAAGGAATGGGTGAGGGAGCGAGCACGGCGGTGGTGAGAGGGAGACTCACTTGGGCTCCTCGTGGTACAGCTCGATGGTCTTGGGCCACAGGTACAGGTCCGCTATGGCGTCTGATATCAGATTCTATGATGGCATGGGGGTGGGCAAGGGCATGGGCGCGGGCAATGACAAGAGCACGGGTTTGGGCATAGGGCAGGGCAGCGGAACAAAGGGAGTTGTGGAGGTCGTAGAATGGCCATGAAGCCTACAGCATGGCATCACATTGCATGAAATCACGAGGCATGGGGCATGGGGCATGGGGCATGGCCCATGGGGCATGGGGCATGGACCATGGGGCATGGGGCATGGGGCATGGGGTATGGGGCTTGGGGTATGGGGAATGGGCATGGGGCATGGGGCATGGGGCATGGCGCATGGGGCATGGGGCATGGGGCATGGGGTATGGGGCTTGGGGTATGGGGAATGGGCATGGGGCATGGGCATGGGGCATGTGGCATGGGGCATGGGGGCATGGGGCATGGGGTATGGGGTATGGGGTATGGGGAATGGGCATGAGGCATGGGGGCATTGGGCATGGGGCATGGGGGCATGGAGCATGGAGCATGGGGCATGGGGCATGGGGCATGGAGCATGGGGCATGGGGCACCTGAGCGAGGTTGCAGAGGCCAGGAATGGCCATGACATCGAGGCCCAGCACTCGGAGAGCGAAGTCCACATGGGGCTGGCAGTGATGGGGGTGATGGGGGTGATGGGGGTGATGGGGGTGATGGGGGTGATGGCGGTGATGGGGGTGATGGGGGTGATGGGGGTGATGGGGGTGATGGGGGTGATGGCGGTGATGGGGGTGATGGGGGTGATGGGGGTGATGGGGGTGATGGCGGTGATGGGGGTGATGGGGGTGATGGGGGTGATGGCGGTGATGGGGGTGATGGGGGTGATGGGGGTGATGGGGGTGATGGGGGTGATGGGGGTGATGGGGGTGATGGCGGTGATGGGGGTGATGGCGGTGATGGGGGTGATGGCGGTGATGGGGGTGATGGCGGTGATGGGGGTGATGGGAGTGATGGGGGTGATGGGGGTGATGGGGGTGATGGGGGTGATGGGGGTGATGGGGGTGATGGGGGTGATGGGGGTGATGGGGGTGATGGGGGTGATGGGGGTGATGGGGGTGATGGGGGTGATGGCGGTGATGGGGGTGATGGGGGTGATGGGGGTGATGGGGGTGATGGGGGTGATGGCGGTGATGGGGGTGATGGGGGTGATGGGGGTGATGGGGGTGATGGCGGTGATGGGGGTGATGGCGGTGATGGGGGTGATGGCGGTGATGGGGGTGATGGGGGTGATGGGGGTGATGGGGGTGATGGGGGTGATGGGGGTGATGGGGGTGATGGCGGTGATGGGGGTGATGGCGGTGATGGGGGTGATGGCGGTGATGGGGGTGATGGCGGTGATGGGGGTGATGGGAGTGATGGGGGTGATGGGGGTGATGGGGGTGATGGGGGTGATGGGGGTGATGGGGGTGATGGGGGTGATGGCGGTGATGGGGGTGATGGGGGTGATGGGGGTGATGGGGGTGATGGCGGTGATGGGGGTGATGGCGGTGATGGGGGTGATGGCGGTGATGGGGGTGATGGGGGTGATGGGGGTGATGGGGGTGATGGGGGTGATGGGGGTGATGGGGGTGATGGCGGTGATGGGGGTGATGGCGGTGATGGGGGTGATGGCGGTGATGGGGGTGATGGCGGTGATGGGGGTGATGGGAGTGATGGGGGTGATGGGGGTGATGGGGGTGATGGGGGTGATGGGGGTGATGGGGGTGATGGGGGTGATGGGGGTGATGGGAGTGATGGGGGTGATGGGGGTGATGGGGGTGATGGGGGTGATGGGGGTGATGGCGGTGATGGCGGTGATGGGGGTGATGGGGGTGATGGGGGTGATGGCGGTGATGGGGGTGATGGGGGTGATGGGGGTGATGGGGGTGATGGCGGTGATGGGGGTGATGGCGGTGATGGGGGTGATGGCGGTGATGGGGGTGATGGGGGTGATGGGGGTGATGGGGGTGATGGGGGTGATGGGGGTGATGGCGGTGATGGGGGTGATGGCGGTGATGGGGGTGATGGCGGTGATGGGGGTGATGGGAGTGATGGGGGTGATGGGGGTGATGGGGGTGATGGGGGTGATGGGGGTGATGGGGGTGATGGGGGTGATGGCGGTGATGGGGGTGATGGGGGTGATGGGGGTGATGGGGGTGATGGCGGTGATGTGGGTGATGGCGGTGATGGGGGTGATGGCAGTGATGGGGGTGATGGGGGTGATGGGGGTGATGGGGGTGATGGGGGTGATGGGGGTGATGGGGGTGATGGCGGTGATGGGGGTGATGGCGGTGATGGGGGTGATGGCGGTGATGGGGGTGATGGGGGTGATGGGGGTGATGGGGGTGATGGGGGTGATGGCGGTGATGGGGGTGATGGGGGTGATGGGGGTGATGGGGGTGATGGGGGTGATGGCGGTGATGGGGGTGATGGGGGTGATGGGGGTGATGGGGGTGATGGCGGTGATGGGGGTGATGGCGGTGATGGGGGTGATGGGGGTGATGGGGGTGATGGGGGTGATGGGGGTGATGGGGGTGATGGGGGTGATGGGAGTGATGGGGGTGATGGGGGTGATGGGGGTGATGGGGGTGATGGCGGTGATGGGGGTGATGGCGGTGATGGGGGTGATGGGAGTGATGGGGGTGATGGGGGTGATGGGGGTGATGGGGGTGATGGGGGTGATGGGGGTGATGGGGGTGATGGGGGTGATGGGGGTGATGGGGGTGATGGGGGTGATGGGGGTGATGGGGGTGATGGCGGTGATGGGGGTGATGGGGGTGATGGGGGTGATGGGGGTGATGGGGGTGATGGCGGTGATGGGGGTGATGGGGGTGATGGGGGTGATGGGGGTGATGGCGGTGATGTGGGTGATGGCGGTGATGGGGGTGATGGCAGTGATGGGGGTGATGGGGGTGATGGGGGTGATGGGGGTGATGGGGGTGATGGGGGTGATGGGGGTGATGGCGGTGATGGGGGTGATGGCGGTGATGGGGGTGATGGCGGTGATGGGGGTGATGGGGGTGATGGGGGTGATGGGGGTGATGGGGGTGATGGCGGTGATGGGGGTGATGGGGGTGATGGGGGTGATGGGGGTGATGGGGGTGATGGCGGTGATGGGGTGATGGGGTGATGGGGGTGATGGGGGTGATGGGGGTGATGGGGGTGATGGCGGTGATGGGGGTGATGGCGGTGATGGGGGTGATGGGGGTGATGGGGGTGATGGGGGTGATGGGGGTGATGGGGGTGATGGGGGTGATGGGAGTGATGGGGGTGATGGGGGTGATGGGGGTGATGGGGGTGATGGCGGTGATGGGGGTGATGGCGGTGATGGGGGTGATGGGGGTGATGGGGGTGATGGCGGTGATGGGGGTGATGGGGGTGATGGGGGTGATGGGGGTGATGGCGGTGATGGGGGTGATGGCGGTGATGGGGGTGATGGCGGTGATGGGGGTGATGGGAGTGATGGGGTGATGGGGTGATGGGGGTGATGGGGGTGATGGGGGTGATGGGGGTGATGGGGGTGATGGGGGTGATGGGAGTGATGGGGGTGATGGGGGTGATGGGGGTGATGGGGGTGATGGGGGTGATGGCGGTGATGGCGGTGATGGGGGTGATGGGGGTGATGGGGGTGATGGCGGTGATGGGGGTGATGGGGGTGATGGGGGTGATGGGGGTGATGGCGGTGATGGGGGTGATGGCGGTGATGGGGGTGATGGCGGTGATGGGGGTGATGGGGGTGATGGGGGTGATGGGGGTGATGGGGGTGATGGGGGTGATGGCGGTGATGGGGGTGATGGCGGTGATGGGGGTGATGGCGGTGATGGGGGTGATGGGAGTGATGGGGGTGATGGGGGTGATGGGGGTGATGGGGGTGATGGGGGTGATGGGGGTGATGGGGGTGATGGCGGTGATGGGGGTGATGGGGGTGATGGGGGTGATGGGGGTGATGGCGGTGATGTGGGTGATGGCGGTGATGGGGGTGATGGCAGTGATGGGGGTGATGGGGGTGATGGGGGTGATGGGGGTGATGGGGGTGATGGGGGTGATGGGGGTGATGGCGGTGATGGGGGTGATGGCGGTGATGGGGGTGATGGCGGTGATGGGGGTGATGGGGGTGATGGGGGTGATGGGGGTGATGGGGGTGATGGCGGTAATGGGGGTGATGGGGGTGATGGGGGTGATGGGGGTGATGGGGGTGATGGCGGTGATGGGGGTGATGGGGGTGATGGGGGTGATGGGGGTGATGGCGGTGATGGGGGTGATGGCGGTGATGGGGGTGATGGGGGTGATGGGGGTGATGGGGGTGATGGGGGTGATGGGGGTGATGGGGGTGATGGGAGTGATGGGGGTGATGGGGGTGATGGGGGTGATGGGGGTGATGGCGGTGATGGGGGTGATGGCGGTGATGGGGGTGATGGGAGTGATGGGGGTGATGGGGGTGATGGGGGTGATGGGGGTGATGGGGGTGATGGGGGTGATGGGGGTGATGGGGGTGATGGGGGTGATGGGGGTGATGGGGGTGATGGGGGTGATGGCGGTGATGGGGGTGATGGGGGTGATGGGGGTGATGGGGGTGATGGGGGTGATGGCGGTGATGGGGGTGATGGGGGTGATGGGGGTGATGGGGGTGATGGCGGTGATGGGGGTGATGGCGGTGATGGGGGTGATGGCGGTGATGGGGGTGATGGGGGTGATGGGGGTGATGGGGGTGATGGGGGTGATGGGGGTGATGGGAGTGATGGGGGTGATGGGGGTGATGGGGGTGATGGGGGTGATGGCGGTGATGGGGGTGATGGGGGTGATGGCGGTGATGGGGGTGATGGCGGTGATGGGGGTGATGGGGGTGATGGGGGTGATGGGGGTGATGGGGGTGATGGGGGTGATGGGGGTGATGGCGGTGATGGGGGTGATGGCGGTGATGGGGGTGATGGCGGTGATGGGGGTGATGTGGGTGATGGCGGTGATGGGGGTGATGGGGGTGATGGGGGTGATGGGGGTGATGGCGGTGATGTGGGTGATGGCGGTGATGGGGGTGATGGCAGTGATGGGGGTGATGGGGGTGATGGGGGTGATGGGGGTGATGGGGGTGATGGGGGTGATGGCGGTGATGGGGGTGATGGCGGTGATGGGGGTGATGGCGGTGATGGGGGTGATGGGGGTGATGGGGGTGATGGGGGTGATGGCGGTGATGGGGGTGATGGGGGTGATGGCGGTGATGGGGGTGATGGGGGTGATGGCGGTTATGGGGGTGATGGGGGTGATGGGGGTGATGGGGGTGATGGCGGTGATGGGGGTGATGGTGGTGATGGGGGTGATGGCGGTGATGGGGGTGATGGGGGTGATGGGGGTGATGGGGGTGATGGGGGTGATGGGAGTGATGGGGGTGATGGGGGTGATGGGGGTGATGGGGGTGATGGGGGTGATGGCGGTGATGGGGGTGATGGCGGTGATGGGGGTGATGGCGGTGATGGGGGGTGATGGGAGTGATGGGGGTGATGGGGGTGATGGGGGTGATGGGGGTGATGGGGGTGATGGGGGTGATGGGGGTGATGGCGGTGATGGGGGTGATGGGGGTGATGGGGGTGATGGGGGTGATGGCGGTGATGTGGGTGATGGCGGTGATGGGGGTGATGGCAGTGATGGGGGTGATGGGGGTGATGGGGGTGATGGGGGTGATGGGGGTGATGGGGGTGATGGGGGTGATGGCGGTGATGGGGGTGATGGCGGTGATGGGGGTGATGGCGGTGATGGGGGTGATGGGGGTGATGGGGGTGATGGGGGTGATGGGGGTGATGGCGGTGATGGGGGTGATGGGGGTGATGGGGGTGATGGGGGTGATGGGGGTGATGGCGGTGATGGGGGTGATGGGGGTGATGGGGGTGATGGGGGTGATGGCGGTGATGGGGGTGATGGCGGTGATGGGGGTGATGGGGTGATGGGGGTGATGGGGGTGATGGGGGTGATGGGGGTGATGGGGGTGATGGGAGTGATGGGGGTGATGGGGGTGATGGGGGTGATGGGGGTGATGGCGGTGATGGGGGTGATGGCGGTGATGGGGGTGATGGGAGTGATGGGGGTGATGGGGGTGATGGGGGTGATGGGGGTGATGGGGGTGATGGGGGTGATGGGGGTGATGGGGGTGATGGGGGTGATGGGGGTGATGGGGGTGATGGGGGTGATGGGGGTGATGGCGGTGATGGGGGTGATGGGGGTGATGGGGGTGATGGGGGTGATGGGGGTGATGGCGGTGATGGGGGTGATGGGGGTGATGGGGGTGATGGCGGTGATGGGGGTGATGGGGGTGATGGGGGTGATGGGGGTGATGGGGGTGATGGCGGTGATGGGGGTGATGGGGGTGATGGCGGTGATGGGGGTGATGGCGGTGATGGGGGTGATGGCGGTGATGGGGGTGATGGCGGTGATGGGGGTGATGGGGGTGATGGGGTGATGGGGGTGATGGGGGTGATGGGGGTGATGGGAGTGATGGGGGTGATGGGGGTGATGGGGGTGATGGGGGTGATGGCGGTGATGGGGGTGATGGGGGTGATGGCGGTGATGGGGGTGATGGCGGTGATGGGGGTGATGGGGGTGATGGGGGTGATGGGGGTGATGGGGGTGATGGGGTGATGGGGGTGATGGCGGTGATGGGGGTGATGGCGGTGATGGGGGTGATGGCGGTGATGGGGGTGATGTGGGTGATGGCGGTGATGGGGGTGATGGGGGTGATGGGGGTGATGGGGGTGATGGCGGTGATGTGGGTGATGGCGGTGATGGGGGTGATGGCAGTGATGGGGGTGATGGGGGTGATGGGGGTGATGGGGGTGATGGGGGTGATGGGGGTGATGGGGGTGATGGGGGTGATGGGGGTGATGGGGGTGATGGGGGTGATGGCGGTGATGGGGGTGATGGGGGTGATGGGGGTGATGGGGGTGATGGCGGTGATGGGGGTGATGGGGGTGATGGGGGTGATGGGGGTGATGGGGGTGATGGCGGTGATGGGGGTGATGGGGGTGATGGGGGTGATGGGGGTGATGGGGGTGATGGCGGTGATGGGGGTGATGGCGGTGATGGGGGTGATGGCGGTGATGGGGGTGATGGGGGTGATGGGGGTGATGGGGGTGATGGGGGTGATGGGGGTGATGGGGGTGATGGGGGTGATGGGGGTGATGGGGGTGATGGGGGTGATGGCGGTGATGGGGGTGATGGCGGTGATGGGGGTGATGGGAGTGATGGGGGTGATGGGGGTGATGGGGGTGATGGGGGTGATGGGGGTGATGGGGGTGATGGGGGTGATGGGGGTGATGGGGGTGATGGGGGTGATGGGGGTGATGGGGGTGATGGGGGTGATGGCGGTGATGGGGGTGATGGGGGTGATGGGGGTGATGGGGGTGATGGCGGTGATGGGGGTGATGGGGGTGATGGGGGTGATGGGGGTGATGGCGGTGATGGGGGTGATGGCGGTGATGGGGGTGATGGCGGTGATGGGGGTGATGGGGGTGATGGGGGTGATGGGGGTGATGGGGGTGATGGGGGTGATGGGAGTGATGGGGGTGATGGGGGTGATGGGGGTGATGGGGGTGATGGCGGTGATGGGGGTGATGGGGGTGATGGCGGTGATGGGGGTGATGGCGGTGATGGGGGTGATGGGGGTGATGGGGGTGATGGGGGTGATGGGGGTGATGGGGGTGATGGCGGTGATGGGGGTGATGGCGGTGATTGGGGTGATGGCGGTGATGGGGGTGATGGGAGTGATGGGGGTGATGGGGGTGATGGGGGTGATGGGGGTGATGGGGGTGATGGGGGTGATGGGGGTGATGGGGGTGATGGGGGTGATGGGAGTGATGGGGGTGATGGGGGTGATGGGGGTGATGGGGGTGATGGGGGTGATGGCGGTGATGGCGGTGATGGCGGTGATGGGGGTGATGGGGGTGATGGGGGTGATGGCGGTGATGGGGGTGATGGGGGTGATGGGGGTGATGAGGGTGATGGCGGTGATGGGGGTGATGGCGGTGATGGGGGTGATGGCGGTGATGGGGGTGATGGGGGTGATGGGGGTGATGGGGGTGATGGGGGTGATAGGGGTGATGGCGGTGATGGGGGTGATGGCGGTGATGGGGGTGATGGCGGTGATGGGGGTGATGGGAGTGATGGGGGTGATGGGGGTGATGGGGGTGATGGGGGTGATGGGGGTGATGGGGGTGATGGGGGTGATGGCGGTGATGGGGGTGATGGGGGTGATGGGGGTGATGGGGGTGATGGCGGTGATGGGGGTGATGGCGGTGATGGGGGTGATGGCGGTGATGGGGGTGATGGGGGTGATGGGGGTGATGGGGGTGATGGCGGTGATGGGGGTGATGGCGGTGATGGGGTGATGGGGGTGATGGGGGTGATGGCGGTGATGGGGGTGATGGGGTGATGGGGGTGATGGGGGTGATGGCGGTGATGGGGGTGATGGCGGTGATGGGGGTGATGGCGGTGATGGGGGTGATGGGGGTGATGGGGGTGATGGGGGTGATGGGGGTGATGGGGGTGATGGCGGTGATGGGGGTGATGGGGGTGATGGGGGTGATGGCGGTGATGGGGGTGATGGCGGTGATGGGGGTGATGGCGGTGATGGGGGTGATGGGGGTGATGGGGGTGATGGGGGTGATGGGGGTGATGGGAGTGATGGGGGTGATGGGGGTGATGGGGGTGATGGGGGTGATGGGGGTGATGGCGGTGATGGGGGTGATGGCGGTGATGGGGGTGATGGCGGTGATGGGGGTGATGGGGGTGATGGGGGTGATGGGGGTGATGGGGGTGATGGCGGTGATGGGGGTGATGGGGGTGATGGGGGTGATGGGGGTGATGGCGGTGATGGGGGTGATGGCGGTGATGGGGGTGATGGCGGTGATGGGGGTGATGGGGTGATGGGGGTGATGGGGTGATGGGGGTGATGGGGGTGATGGGAGTGATGGGGTGATGGGGGTGATGGGGGTGATGGGGGTGATGGGGGTGATGGCGGTGATGGGGGTGATGGGGTGATGGCGGTGATGGGGGTGATGGCGGTGATGGGGGTGATGGGGGTGATGGGGGTGATGGGGGTGATGGGGGTGATGGGGGTGATGGGGGTGATGGCGGTGATGGGGGTGATGGCGGTGATGGGGGTGATGGCGGTGATGGGGGTGATGTGGGTGATGGCGGTGATGGGGGTGATGGGGGTGATGGGGGTGATGGGGGTGATGGCGGTGATGTGGGTGATGGTGGTGATGGGGGTGATGGCAGTGATGGGGGTGATGGGGGTGATGGGGGTGATGGGGGTGATGGGGGTGATGGGGGTGATGGGGGTGATGGCGGTGATGGGGGTGATGGCGGGTGATGGGGGTGATGGCGGTGATGGGGGTGATGGGGGTGATGGGGGTGATGGCGGTGATGGGGGTGATGGGGGTGATGGGGGTGATGGGGGTGATGGGGGTGATGGCGGTGATGGGGGTGATGGGGGTGATGGGGGTGATGGGGGTGATGGCGGTGATGGGGGTGATGGCGGTGATGGGGGTGATGGCGGTGATGGGGGTGATGGGGGGTGATGGGGGGTGATGGGGGTGATGGGGGTGATGGGGTGATGGGAGTGATGGGGGTGATGGGGGTGATGGGGGTGATGGGGGTGATGGGGGTGATGGCGGTGATGGGGGTGATGGCGGTGATGGGGGTGATGGGAGTGATGGGGGTGATGGGGGTGATGGGGGTGATGGGGGTGATGGGGGTGATGGGGGTGATGGGGGTGATGGGGGTGATGGGGGTGATGGGGGTGATGGGGGTGATGGGGGTGATGGGGGTGATGGGGGTGATGGCGGTGATGGGGGTGATGGGGGTGATGGGGGTGATGGGGGTGATGGGGGTGATGGCGGTGATGGGGGTGATGGGGGTGATGGGGGTGATGGGGGTGATGGCGGTGATGGGGGTGATGGCGGTGATGGGGGTGATGGCGGTGATGGGGGTGATGGGGGTGATGGGGGTGATGGGGGTGATGGGGGTGATGGGGGTGATGGGAGTGATGGGGGTGATGGGGGTGATGGGGGTGATGGGGGTGATGGCGGTGATGGGGGTGATGGGGGTGATGGCGGTGATGGGGGTGATGGCGGTGATGGGGGTGATGGGGTGATGGGGGTGATGGGGGTGATGGGGGTGATGGGGGTGATGGGGGTGATGGCGGTGATGGGGGTGATGGCGGTGATGGGGGTGATGGCGGTGATGGGGGTGATGGCGGTGATGGGGGTGATGGGAGTGATGGGGGTGATGGGGGTGATGGGGGTGATGGGGGTGATGGGGGTGATGGGGGTGATGGGGGTGATGGGGGTGATGGGGGTGATGGGAGTGATGGGGGTGATGGGGGTGATGGGGGTGATGGGGGTGATGGGGGTGATGGCGGTGATGGCGGTGATGGCGGTGATGGGGGTGATGGGGGTGATGGGGGTGATGGCGGTGATGGGGGTGATGGGGGTGATGGGGTGATGGGGGTGATGGCGGGTGATGGGGGATGGGGTGATGGCGGTGATGGGGGTGATGGCGGTGATGGGGGTGATGGGGGTGATGGGGGTGATGGGGGTGATGGGGGTGATGGGGGTGATGGCGGTGATGGGGGTGATGGCGGTGATGGGGGTGATGGCGGTGATGGGGGTGATGGGAGTGATGGGGGTGATGGGGGTGATGGGGGTGATGGGGGTGATGGGGGTGATGGGGGTGATGGGGGTGATGGCGGTGATGGGGGTGATGGGGGTGATGGGGGTGATGGGGGTGATGGCGGTGATGTGGGTGATGGCGGTGATGGGGGTGATGGCAGTGATGGGGGTGATGGGGGTGATGGGGGTGATGGGGGTGATGGGGGTGATGGGGGTGATGGGGGTGATGGGGGTGATGGGGGTGATGGCGGTGATGGGGGTGATGGCGGTGATGGGGGTGATGGCGGTGATGGGGGTGATGGCAGTGATGGGGGTGATGGGAGTGATGGGGGTGATGGGGGTGATGGGGGTGATGGGGGTGATGGGGGTGATGGGGTGATGGCGGTGATGGCGGTGATGGGGGTGATGGCGGTGATGGGGGTGATGGGGGTGATGGGGGTGATGGGGGTGATGGGGGTGATGGGAGTGATGGGGGTGATGGGGGTGATGGGGGTGATGGGGGTGATGGGGGTGATGGCGGTGATGGGGGTGATGGCGGTGATGGGGGTGATGGCGGTGATGGGGGTGATGGGGGTGATGGGGGTGATGGGGGTGATGGGGGTGATGGCGGTGATGGGGGTGATGGGGGTGATGGGGGTGATGGGGGTGATGGCGGTGATGGGGGTGATGGCGGTGATGGGGGTGATGGCGGTGATGGGGGTGATGGGGGTGATGGGGGTGATGGGGGTGATGGGGGTGATGGGGGTGATGGGAGTGATGGGGGTGATGGGGGTGATGGGGGTGATGGGGGTGATGGCGGTGATGGGGGTGATGGGGGTGATGGCGGTGATGGGGGTGATGGCGGTGATGGGGGTGATGGGGGTGATGGGGGTGATGGGGGTGATGGGGGTGATGGGGGTGATGGGGGTGATGGCGGTGATGGGGGTGATGGCGGTGATGGGGGTGATGGCGGTGATGGGGGTGATGTGGGTGATGGCGGTGATGAGGGTGATGGGGGTGATGGGGGTGATGGGGGTGATGGCGGTGATGTGGGTGATGGCGGTGATGGGGGTGATGGCAGTGATGGGGGTGATGGGGGTGATGGGGGTGATGGGGGTGATGGGGGTGATGGGGGTGATGGGGGTGATGGGGGTGATGGGGGTGATGGCGGTGATGGGGGTGATGGGGGTGATGGGGGTGATGGGGGTGATGGCGGTGATGGGGGTGATGGCGGTGATGGGGGTGATGGCGGTGATGGGGGTGATGGGGGTGATGGGGGTGATGGGGGTGATGGGGGTGATGGGAGTGATGGGGGTGATGGGGGTGATGGGGGTGATGGGGGTGATGGGGGTGATGGCGGTGATGGGGTGATGGCGGTGATGGGGGGTGATGGGAGTGATGGGGGTGATGGGGGTGATGGGGGTGATGGGGGTGATGGGGGTGATGGGGGTGATGGGGGTGATGGGGGTGATGGGGGTGATGGCGGTGATGGGGGTGATGGCGGTGATGGGGGTGATGGCGGTGATGGCGGTGATGGGGGTGATGGGGGTGATGGGGGTGATGGGGGAGATGGCGGTGATGTGGGTGATGGCGGTGATGGGGGTGATGGCAGTGATGGGGGTGATGGGGGTGATGGGGGTGATGGGGGTGATGGGGGTGATGGGGGTGATGGGGGTGATGGCGGTGATGGGGGTGATGGCGGTGATGGGGGTGATGGCGGTGATGGGGGTGATGGCAGTGATGGGGGTGATGGGAGTGATGGGGGTGATGGGGGTGATGGGGGTGATGGGGGTGATGGGGGTGATGGGGGTGATGGGGGTGATGGGGGTGATGGGGGTGATGGGAGTGATGGGGGTGATGGGGGTGATGGGGGTGATGGGGGTGATGGGGAGTGATGGGGGTGATGGGGGTGATGGGGGTGATGGCGGTGATGGGAGTGATGGGGGTGATGGGGGTGATGGGGGTGATGGCGGTGATGGCGGTGATGGCGGTGATGGGGGTGATGGGGGTGATGGGGGTGATGGCGGTGATGGGGGTGATGGGGGTGATGGGGGTGATGGGGGTGATGGCGGTGATGGGGGTGATGGCGGTGATGGGGTGATGGCGGTGATGGGGGTGATGGGGGTGATGGGGGTGATGGGGGTGATGGGGGTGATGGGGGTGATGGGGGTGATGGCGGTGATGGGGGTGATGGCGGTGATGGGGGTGATGGCGGTGATGGGGGTGATGGCGGTGATGGGGGTGATGGGAGTGATGGGGTGATGGGGGTGATGGGGGTGATGGGGGTGATGGGGGTGATGGGGGTGATTGGGGTGATGGGGGTGATGGGAGTGATGGGGGTGATGGGGGTGATGGGGGTGATGGGGATGATGGGGTTGATGGGGTGATGGGATGGTGATGGGGGTGATGGGGGTGATGGCGGTGATGGCGGTGATGGCGGTGATGGGGGTGATGGGGGTGATGGGGGTGATGGCGGTGATGGGGGTGATGGGGTGATGGGGGTGATGGGGGTGATGGGGGGTGATGGGGGTGATGGGGGTGATGGGGGTGATGGGGGTGATGGGAGTGATGGGGGTGATGGGGGTGATGAGGGTGATGGGGGTGATGGGAGTGATGGGGGTGAATGGGGGTGATGGGGGTGATGGCGGTGATGGGAGTGATGGGGGTGATGGGGGTGATGGGGGTGATGGCGGGTGATGGCGGTGATGGCGGTGATGGGGGTGATGGGGGTGATGGGGGTGATGGCGGTGATGGGGGTGATGGGGGTGATGGGGGTGATGGGGGTGATGGCGGTGATGGGGGTGATGGCGGTGATGGGGGTGATGGCGGTGATGGGGGTGATGGGGGTGATGGGGGTGATGGGGGTGATGGGGGTGATGGGGTGATGGGGGTGATGGCGGTGATGGGGGTGATGGCGGTGATGGGGGTGATGGCGGTGATGGGGGTGATGGCGGTGATGGGGGTGATGGGAGTGATGGGGGTGATGGGGGTGATGGGGGTGATGGGGGTGATGGGGGTGATGGGGGTGATGGGGGTGATGGGGGTGATGGGAGTGATGGGGGTGATGGGGGTGATGGGGGTGATGGGGATGATGGGGGTGATGGGGGTGATGGGAGTGATGGGGGTGATGGGGGTGATGGGGGTGATGGCGGTGATGGCGGTGATGGCGGTGATGGGGGTGATGGGGGTGATGGGGGTGATGGCGGGTGATGGGGGTGATGGGGGTGATGGGGGCAGGGGAGGGGTGACAGGACGCAGTGGGGAGAGGGGGGGGGGGGGGGGGGGAGAGCAGGAGAGAGCGAGGAATGCGTGGGTCAGAAGGGCCATGATGTTCAGTCCCAGCACCCGCAGAGCAAAGTCCCTGTGGGGCTGGCGGTGGGGGGGATGTAAGACGCATGAGGGAGGGCGTGGTGGATAGAAGGAGAGAGCGAGGTTGGCATGGGTCAGAGTGGCTATGATGTCCAGTCACAGAACTCATATACGGGGAGCAGCAGCAGAGTGGCCTGGGTCAGAGTGGCCTGGGTCAGAGTGGCATGGGTCAGAGTGGCATGGGTCAGAGTGGCATGGGTCAGAGTGGCATGGGTCAGAGTGGCATGGGCTTACTGAAAAGGGGTGCAGCAGTGGAGAGGCGGAGAGATGAGTGCTTGGTTGGGGTGGGACGGAATGTGAGCAACGAGTGGCAGCAGTGAGCATTTTTTAAATTTCTCAAAAATGACTCGCACACGGGGACTGTCCACAAAGCGCGTCGGCAAATATGAGCACCGTGTGCTCACGACGCACCCTTTGTCCTGTTTGGCCCTTTTGAGCGATTTCTGAGAGAAGTCTGGGTCTCTCGTGGGCACACGTGGTGTCCAGAGAAGTGTAAGAACGCATTGACCAATACGGGCACCACGTGTGCCCACGAGAGGGCCCCGTTTGCCCAGTTTGGCCTCTAGGCACGCACCTTGTCCATGAGTGCGAGGGTGATGCGCGAGAAGCAGGGGAAGATCGGCACGAGCGGCTTCACTGTGATGCGCGCCACTGCCCTCACATGCAGATCCGTCAGCTGTGCGGCGGAGGAGCAATAAGGGGACGGGGAAGATCGCGGATGGGGGATGGGGAATGGATGCGAAACGGGGGATAGGGATGTGGAGAATCGAAAATGAGGGTGGCGGATGAGGAATGGGGGAATTGGAGAACGGGGTAAGGGTGAAGTGCATGTTTTGACTTACTGGTACGTAGACTGTATAGTGAGCGGACATACGAGGGGAGGAGCAGGGAGCATGGGAGGGAGGAACGAGGAGCAAGAAGGGGCGTCAGGAGGGAGCAGCGAGGTGAGAGGGTGCACCTGTACGGAGAGGTTAAAGCCATGCAGGGAGGCAGTGACGGCGATGTTGTTGTTGGCCGCCCACCGCATGACCGGCTGGATGATCACCTCGTCATCGTGCGTCTCCAGGGACTTGATGGCTGGTGGGCGGAGGGAGGAGGAGGAAGTGGAGGGGGGAGGGAAGGGGGCATTGTGCGGGCTGATAGGAGTTGGCAGCACATGACCGGCTGAATGAGCACCTCATCGTCGTGGGTCCCCGGGGACTTGATGGCTGGCGGTGAGGGTGTGGGGAGGGGGGATGCTTGATGGTTGTGAAAGTTGATGAGAGTTTGTGAGAGTTGGTGGCATGTGCTCGGCAGCGGGTTGGATGATTGCCTCGTCGTGTACTTCCGGGGACTTGATGGCTGGTGGTTGGTTGGTAGGAGGGAGGAGGGTGGGGGGGAAGAGGAGGTGTGAGTGTTGATGAGAGCTGATGCGAGTTGGTGTCATGGCATGGGCTCGGCAGCAGGTTGGGTGATCGCCTCGTCGTCGTGGGTTTCCGGGGACTTGATGGCTGGTGCGGGGGGATGAGAGGGGGGGTTGGTGACGTGGGTGGGGTGAGACGGATGTGTGATGACGCAAGAGCGGATGGTGGTTGGGATGGGATGAAATGAAATCGGATGAGTTGACAAGTGTTGTGATGGTGGTGACTTAAACCCGAAACCCTAAACAAACATGTAGTTTGACTTTATGGCACACACACTGATCTGATGGTGATGGGTGAGGCCAGAAGTGAGAGAGGGGCACGCACCGATGATGGCTGGTGGGAGGGGGCCGAGGGAGAAGTGGGAGAAGGAGAGGGAGTGCAGGAAGGAGGGCTTGTTGTCAAGAAGCAGAGGTGTCACGTCCCTCTGCACTGCCTCTGATACCGCCTGGTGGGGGCGAGATGGGGGAGAGGGGAGAAGTGGTGAGGCTGGGAGTGGTGTAAGGCAAGAGGCGGTGTGGAGGGCAGCAGAGGCGTCACATCCCTCTGCACCGCCTCTGATACCGCCTGGTGGGGGAGAGAAGGGAAAAGAGGGAAAGTGGAGTGGGAAGGGGGGAGGGAAAGAGAGCACAGAGTGTGTGGTGCCGTGCTGAGCAGAGGCGTCACGTCCCTCCGAACAGCCTCTGACACCGCCTGGTGGGGGAGAGAGAGGGGCGGGGAGGGGAGGAGCGACGCAGAGAAGCAAAGGAGCCACTTTCTTCCCCATTCTCTCTGTGCCCGGCTAGATAGCAGAGAAAACGACTGTAAACAGAATCATAAGCAGCAGCATGTGCCCCATACACCATGTGAAGGAAGAGCATGCAGCAAGTGGGTGGGTGTGGGTGAGAGGGTGAGTGGTTTGATTTGAGGGGCGCAAAGCGCACCTTGCCACCATACAGCTATAACTATGCTTGAGGCGCATAGAACAAAAGGCACACCTTGTTGACATATGGCCACATCTCCGCCACGATCCGATTGAGCCAATCCACCTGCCGTGTGGGCGACAGGGACGCATGCATGGGGCGGGGCGAGAGAGAGGGGACCAAGGCTTGTGTGGGGGACACAAGGACGGATAAGATGAAGGCACACTGCGGTACAATCACCAGGCGCAACAACAATGGATGGAGCCACATTGACCTTCCTTTACTGACTGCCTCCCCCCAGCGCGCTCACCCGTCACTGACTGCCTCCCCCCAGCGCGCTCACCCGCTCATAGTCGGGGTTGCTGACCCACGGCGGCAGATGCACGAAGAACCTTCTCAGCGCCTTCTCGTCCAGCCCCTCCGCCGGCGCCACGCGCTGCTCCACCTCCTGCCCCGCGCGCGCAGGGGGTTGGGCGGGGGAGAGGGGGAGGGGGCGCGGGGAGGGAGGGGGAAGAGGGAGGAGAGGGACGCGAATTGACGGCAAAAGAGGCACCTTCACGACGACAAGAGTACCGCGACGGCGAGGCGGTACATTAACGGCCAGAACGGTAACCTAACGGCTAGCAGGCTACCTTGACGGTGAGCGGCAGCGGGTAGATGAGGAGGAGGTAAGCGGCGGCGAAGCCGGCGAGGAGGCCGGCGAGGAAGACGAGCGCGGAAGACGCGTAACCTAGGAGCTCGAGCGACGCCGCGCAGAGCAGCACCGGCACGCGCAGAAGCAGCTCCGCCGCCGACATTTCCGCGGAGCAGCGTTGATTTCTAAGACTGACTTAGAACAGCAGCTGCTCCGCCGACATGCCGCGCTCGCTGGCGCGTTCACATTAAAGTCTGACTTATTAAAGCAGTTTCGCCACTGGCATGACCCGCGGTGGCGTTGAATCCTTAGTCGACTAATAAAAGCGGTTTCACCACGAACACGTCTGCTGACGCTGCTCGAGCGGCTGGCGGCGATGACGAGACGCTCAGAATGCGGCGCATGAGGTGCTGAGCGGCGAGGCGCATTCTACGCTAGCGATGGGACCTGTCAGCTGGTAAAGAGTCGAAGCGCGGATGGTGCAGGAATCAGCTACAAAATAAGCAGTTTCCGCAGGTGCAACGCGGTGCTATCCATCCGTCGCAAGATCTGCTGCGCTACGGTTCAACAATGAGAAATATCCTAAAAGTATTATACACCACTTCAAAGTTGCACAAACATTGCTATAAGGAACTTTCTTACACCATAACTTGAAATATAAGCAGTTGCTATCATTCAGCATTGTATGATAAACAAATTTGGGGACAGTACCGTACATGCCGTACTGGTCGTACACTGCCTTGGCCGCATTGCATATCTTGCCTTGGCCCACATAGTTGAGCTCCAATACAAGCCTCCAACCTCCAGTACCAGGCTACCAGCCACCACATGTTGCCAGACGTTTGAGACGTATCTAAAACCTGCCTCCAATGCCAGAAACCATGCGTTGCCACAGCATGGCATGCCACACAGCACGTTACCACTCCCATCACGACTACCACCCCCCCACCCCCCACCCCCCCCCCACCCCCACCCCCCCCCCACCCCCCACTCCACCACCACCGTTCCCCACTACCACCACTACCATTCTCAGCAACCGGTACCGCCGCATGGATCAAGGAGTGGAGGGAAAAGCGGCAGAGTAGCTACAGATTGGAGATGAAAGAAAGAGGCACTGGCTTTAAGCCAGAAGAGCAGCAAGAAGCCGGAGTTGAAGCCCCTAGGCAGGCTAAGGAGGGAAGGCGGGTCCCTGTGTCACACTGCCTTGCCTCAAGGAGGCATCGACGACATGCCAAGGCTAAACAGGAATGTTTCTGTTTCACACTGGCTTAACTAAATCTGGGGACTTCAACCCCCTATCTTGCCTCCCACAATCCTGAGGCTGGGTTTCATCCTGCTTTCCCAGCATTGTGGTGGTGGTGAGGAATGGTGATGGAGGGTGATGGTGGGAGTGATGGTGGTGCAGTGGCATCGTGTGGAATCACACTTAACACCACTCACACTTCACAGTCACAACCACTTCCACTCACCCAACCTTGGGGATTCAACCTTCTTCTCTTGCACTCCCTTGCCCATGGGGATTCATCCCATGCCACCCAAATGAGCATCATGATGTCATGCAACAGGTGGCATCAGTGCCCTAGGGCTCATCCCATGCCACCCAAATGAGCATCATGCTCTCATGCAACAGGTAGCATCAGTGCCATAGGGCTCATCATGTGCCACTGCCAACCCCACTGCCTCTCACCACCATCACCACCCAGCCCAACCAGCTCTTTCCCAAACTCAACTAATAGCAGTAGGAGCAGCAGACAGCCCACTCCCCTTCGGAAACAACAACCCCAGGGGGTTGTGCCTTGCAGGGTGAGGAGTGGTACTGGAAAATTGCTTCCAGCCCAAGACTCAAATCCCACCCCTGACGTAGCCAGAGCTGACGCGAACCAGAGCCGCCGGCCGGTCGGCTCTGACGGTGTCCATTAGGACTTGAACGCCAGATCGGTTACTTGAGCACAGAGTGACGTGCGGCGCAGATTCCACCCACCACACCCCGACCCACAACGCACAACCCCAGAAGGTGCTGCCTCTAAGGCAGTGAACTGCCCACTCACTCCCATGCTTCCCACCCAACCACCCACCTCACACTTCACCCCCATGCCTCCTTACCTCTACCTACCAGAGCCATGCAGAGCGCCATGATGCCTTAGGCTGCTGGGGAGGGGGTGATTGAAGGGAGGGGGGGATGAACGGAAGGAGGGGATTCCACTGTGGTCCAGGTAGGGTGCTGCTGGGAGGGAAGGGAAAAGGGAGAGAGGAGGAGGTGAGTGAGAGGGTGGACTTCACTCTCCTGTCCTTGCTTCAGTGCTCCCACTCTCAGGCTGCAAAAAAGACACGGGGGGGAGGGGGAAGAGAGAGGAGAGAATCAGACAACCATACCTCACCTGATACCTTACCTCACCTGCTACCGTACCATACCTGATACCACACCTCCCCACAGCTTCAGCTAGCCTAGCCTGCCCCCTAACCCCTCAACCCCACCACTGCTACAGCTGCTGCCGCCGCTGCTTCTGCTGCTGCAACTGCTGCTGCCGGTCTGCTACTCTGCTCCTCTTTTGCAATCGTCTCTTGTTGCCAAGTGACCTGGTAGCGGGCAGAAAGTTAGAGGGGGGGAGGGAGGGGAGGGGGAGGGACAGGAGAGGAGGGGCAGGAGGAGCGAGTAAGTTGGCATCAAGGAAACACTCAAGTAAACCGAAGAACACAAGAGTGGACAAAGACGAGAATGCAGAATTGAAGCGAGGGGAAAAGAGGCTCACCTTGCATCAGACAACCCAGCCCGATACTCTCCCTTCCAATCCCAGCTGAGTGCAGTGCTGCCCCTCTACCCTCCCACCACAGCCACCTGCACAGCCACAGGGGAGAGATGTGAAGGAGTGGCGGTGTTGACCCCCACGCCCCTCCCTCCCACCCACCTGCAATGGCCCACATAGAAATTGTGAGTGACTGGAGGAGAGGCGAGGGGGTGAAAAAATATACAATCAGAAGAAGCAGAGGGGAAGGGGCCACTGGTGCAACCTCAGTTACAAGCCACAGACCCAAGGGGGAAACATACATAGGAAGGCTTAACCTGAGAGTATACCTGCTGTACCAGGGGGGATCTACCTTAGAAAAAACGGGTCTGTGGCTTGAAGCTTTGGCTGAACCAGAGGCTTGCTTTTGAAGCGAGAAGAAACAGGAGATGCAGCAATGAAAACAAGAGAGAACGGGAGTAGAGAGGCAGGGCAGGAACTTAGCCGCGGGTGGGTTGGGTGGAGAGAAGCTGCTGCCTGTGCACTCCATGTCCCCCGCCACTGCCAGTTCTGTATGAGTGAGGGGAAGATTGTGGGAGGGGGTGAGAGAGGCAGGGAGCAAGGGACAGCAGTGAGCATGGTGGGGAGAAGAGTTAGCAACAGCTAGACAGAATGAAAGAACAGACACTCAAGCATATGTGGCAGGGAGGGGAGAAGAGGCTCACCTTGTTTCAGACGACCCAGCCCGATACTCTCCCTTCCCACCGCAGCCGAGTGGAGTGCTGCCCCCCTCCCCTCCGACCACTGCCACCTGCACGGCCACAGGGGAGGAGCGCGAGGGAGCGGTGGTGTTGACCCCCACGCCCCTCCCCACAACCAGCAAGGAGAGAACTGAAGAGAAGTGAGAACGCGTCTAGGGGTGCATGGGTGGGGTGGGGTGGCAGGTGAGAGCAGAGAAGGGGGCCACTGGTGCAGCCTCAGCTACAAGCCACAGACCCAAGGGGGGTACACACCGGGGAAGCTTACCTGCAAACCTGAGAGCGCTGTAATACCAGGGGGGATTTACCCAAGAAAGCGGGTCTGTGGCATGAAGCGTTGGCTCAACCAACGGCTTGCGTTTGAATGCACAACGACAGGAGATGCAGTGAGGACTGAATGGAATGAAAATAAACGCAAGAGGAGGGCTGGGTACTTAGCTGTGGTTGGGTTGTGGTGGAAAGCAGCTGCTGCCTGTGCACTCTATTCCATGTCCCCCGCCACTGCCTCTCCCATGTGAGCGACCCGCTGGGACGAGAGAGGACAGAGAGAGGAAGGGAGGAGGAGGGGGAAAGGACGGAGGTGTGATAAGGAAGAAAAAGGAGGGTGATGAGTAAAGAGGCGAAGGCAAGTGAGAGAAGCGAGAGCGAAGAGTGCCAAAGTCCAAAGTACCAAAGTTTTGAACGTGCTACCTTGGAAGAGGGAGGTCTCTTGAGTGTGACAGAGAGCAGCAAGGAAGGGAGTTGGATGCATGGTACAAGTTAGACATGAGAAGCAAGACGATGCGAGGGTTGGGAGGAGAAATAGGCACTTAGCTGATGGTGTGAGAGCAGGAGGCAGTTGAAGGAGCATGGGCAGCAGGCATGGCATGGCGTGTCACTCGCGCTGCAGCACTGAGGGGGAGGGAGGCAGCAGCTCGTTGCACGCACTTCAGCACGGCTCGTGCGCTGCTGGGAGGAAGGGGGAAGGGGAGGGAGAGGGGGAGAGGAGGGGAAGGCGGAGGGGCGGGGGGGGAGCGGGAGGGGAAGGTGAGGAAGAGGCGAGGGATGTGCATGGAAGGGTAGTGAGGGGAAGAGGATGCATGAGGGGTGAGGGAGGAAGAGCTGAGGAGGGGCCACTGGTGGAGGCAAGAGTAACAAGCCACAGACCCAAGGACTGGTTAATACCTGCAGTGAGAAAAGGCTTTACTTGACAGGTTCACCTGAGGAGACTCACCTGGAGGAGGCTTTACCTGAAGTAAGGAGGGCCTGTGGGCTGTACCCTGTGCTGCCACCAGTGGCCGCGTTTTGATGGACGAACGGAATGAAAAACGTGCAGAGGGGCAGTGATGTGGGATGCATGCGTGGAGCATGGAGGAGAAAGCACTTAGCTGACCATGTGGCTGCTTTCTGCTGCCGCCAGGTGGTTGTGGTTGAGGCACGGGGGCGATGCTAATGCTGCCTCAGGTGCTTGCTCGCTGCCCCACGTCCGCCTGCCGTTGCTCCTTGGGCTCTACTCGCCTGCCTTTGCTCACAACCACCGCGTGCGCCAGCGACAAAGCTCTAGAAATCGATCTGTGAAGGGAAGATAGCAAGATTGATGGGCCACGATGAGTCGCGAAATCTAAACGCGAGACTGAACGCGAGATGGATTCGAGAAGATAAGTCGCAAGAAATGAGACGCGACACGCGACGCGTATCCAAGCAACTGCTTCAGACAAGTAGCTCGCGAAACGTGACGTGCCATATGATCGATCCCCAAAATTGATGAGCCAGTGACAGGCAGTGGGGTGATGAAAGCCATGGTGGGTGGGAGCAAAGATGGATTGGTGCGGGAAAGTAACTGAAATGAAAAGATCAAGTGAGAGACGAGAGCTTACTTTTTCCATTGAGATGGCGTCGCCATGCTTGGTGGCGAGCGGATGGCGACTCGCCATCTTTGATGGCGAAACGAATGGCGAATCGCCATGCTTGATGGCGAGCAAATGGCGAATCCATGGTTGATGGCGAAACGGATGGCGAAATGCCATGGTTGTGCGGGGACCACAGCATCACGGTAGGATAGTGCTTCCTGCACGGAAAGAATGAAATGCGAGTAAGCTCAGAGAGAGTCGCGACGGCACTTCAACGAGCAAACCCATCATGAAGGAAACAGACCGGAAACGGAACTTGAACGCGAACGTCAAAACGTTCCGAAGAGGTTGACACGGCGAAATCGTTGATTCTGAAAGCGAAATCGTTGATCTGGACGGCGAGATTCTTCTGTTGACGACGAGATTCGTTTGACGATTCAAAAACGTTAAAATCGTCTCTTCTGACGACGAATGTCATCTTGCTGAAGGCGAAATCGTTGGTTCTGACAACGGCTGACGGTTGACAGCTAAAAGGTTGCTGACGGATAGAACCGCTGCTAATGGTCGAAATCGTTGCTGACGGACAAAATCGCTCAGCTTACGGCCGAAATTTGTAAGATAGAGGAATTTGCAAACAAGATCAAAATCGCTGCTGGCCACCAAAGTTGCTGCTACTCCAAAAATCCGGAAGAAACCATGCTGAATGCTAAAGGAGGAATCGCTGTTGGTTCGATGCTAACTGTCGGCTTGCCGCTGTTTGGTCATATATAACTCAGCTAACTGGCAATGTCTAAACATTCATGTGGAAAACAAACGTCGGAGCTCAACCATGAACTGGCGAACGACTGGAAATGACGCGTCGATCTGCTTTTCCTGAACGCAAACTGCTAGGGAAAACTAGGAATTACTCGTAGCTTGTGAGACGGAATGTGGGAGTATGCCTAGGGGAAGGAAGTGGAGAGCAGCCTGGGAAATAAGGTTGTGTTGAAAATGGCTCCTAGGCATTCCTGGGCTGCCATGTCTTGTGAATTTGGTAGAGTCTGGAGAGAAGTTAAAGCGGTTGAGACAGGTTGGCACGGGCGATTCAAGGTTCAATTGTGTAGTGGTTCATGGTGTGTTGGTCTAATCAACTGCAGGTTTCTTTCTCAAGCAGACGGTTCAGCCCATCCCAGAGCCATGCCAGGCAATCCCTAGGTTGGTTCTGCGGCGGCAGCGGGAATGGTGGTTTCCTGCTTGCGGCCCAAACCAAGCGGAGCGCTTGTTTGGGCGCAAGCGCGTGTTGGGTTTGCTGAGTGGCGGAGCGACTCGGATGCTCACGAAATCTACGGCGAAACAACAACTTGTTTCGTTGTGAGCAGAATACCCCCACCAAGTTAGTGCCGTGCTCTTTGGCGAAAGATCATTGTCGCCATACCCGTCGAGAATGACCGTTGGCCGATGAAGTCGCGGGCTTGCGGAATTGTTCCCCGAAAAATCACTGACGCATCGCTGGGATTCCGCGGCGTCTGGTCGGTTTACGAAATGCCTCACTGGAGACTCGGGATTCTAAACCAGCGCAAGGCTGCGGGTAGCGGAATTTGGGGAAGGGAGCAAGTGAGCGCACGTTGGCCCTGCTCGACAGGCAGGCACCTCCTTGGAGCGCTAGGGTTAGGCTAGAGCTAAGAGGTGATTTCGAAGTAACTTCTCCTAGCCCACCCCCACCTCCCCCCAAATCGGAAGCAGCGCCTCCCAAGGTCGGAAGGAGGGGGCTGTTTTGGGGATGTTGCAGCCCCTCCTTCCACCATCTTCATCGTGGGCAGGGATAAAAATTTGTGGAGGGATGGCATGGGCTCCAGGGTAAATCAATGGAATAAAAAAACGTGCACTTCTCTCGCTGACTGGTTTGGTTGTGGGACGATGGGACATTTTCAGGGCAGAGATGGGAGAGGCTACGGTACGGGCTCTGGTGGGAAAATTTTCGTAGGGTATGGGTTGGGTAATCCCTCCCGTATGAAACCCTAGCCTAGTCCTTGGCCAACCCCCATTCTGGGGATTGGAGGACTGGGCTAGAGCTAGGCTAAAGTCTACGCGTGAGAGAAGGGGCTAGGAGCTTTCGGGGGGGCTGAACTTGAAGGGCTAACGTCGCGTTCGACAGGCTAACCCTTAACCCTTCCTGTTACAGAGCGTTAAAACCCAGAACACCAGATTGCGGGCTGACCGTTGAAAAAAGGCCTAAGTCGAAACAGCCGCGAACGTACCGCGGAAGGGTTTGCGTGCCTGTCGAGCAGGGCCGTTGTTAGCACAGTACTCGCCACTGCCTTACCTAGTAGTAATATTTGCACTTGAAGTGATAGAAGAAGTGCATTTTGGGAATGTTATACCCACCAACACTTAAATTACATGCAGAAACGGAGGCTTGCATGCTGCGTTTGGTACACGCTTTAGCTTACGAAAACAACACCCATACTTTGACCACACACACTTCATGTCTGCTTATGCGGCTTCAACATGAAAATACCTCACTTTCGTCTACTTTGCTGCTCCCTTCCTGGACGTAGCAATCCATGTTGATCTTCAAAATCATCAATATCATCTTCCGTGTGTGCTGCAGCTCGCCGTGCATGCAAGCTTTCAAATATACTGTCCAGATCCGGAGCAGTCTCTTGTGTCACGCCACCTCCACTCGTTCCAGTTGTATCCACACCCCCGTCATCTTTACTGTGTGGACGTGGGCTTCCTAGAATGTCTCTCAGCCTGCCCATTGTGCTGCTGGATGAGGCATCACGCAGGCGGGATGTGACAGCCTGAGACCAGCGCGACTCCAGCAGTGTGTGAGACCAATGGCTGCTGCTGCTGGAAATGGTTCCATCGGAACCAGAACCTGCTGCTGCTCCTCTTTGGCCTGAGATGAGCGGGGACTCTGTAGGAGACATACTGCTCCCTTGCTGGGTACCTCCTTGCTGCTCTCCTGCACCTGCAGCTACAGCTGTTGTGCCCTGCCCGGCCCAGAAATACCTCTGTGGGGTTGACACCATCGCTGCAGAGCTTAGGCCCAGAGCGGAAGAGAGGAGAGAGGGAGGCGAGAGTGGGCGCGTGGGTGTTACACTGCCAGCAGGAGCAGCAGCTACAGCAGTGGAAAGGTGGTGTGGAGTTGAGTGAGCAGAGGTGCTGATGGGTGGCAGCCTGGAAGCGACAAGAGGAGAGGCGGCTCGAGAGAGCAAGAGGGGACTGCCAGGGACAGAGGCCTGCCTTGACTTCTCCCGACCCAGGGGAAGCAGATCGCCTGCTGAGCTTGATTTTATGCTCGCCTCCAGCCCCAGCCTGGCTGCCACACCTGCTGCTGGAGAGGCAGCACCTGACGAAGCACCTGAAGCACCCCCTGGAGGAGGCCGCTGGGGCTTCCTGGCACTGCCGCCAGCAGAAGAACCAGCAGCAATGCCAGAGTATTTGACTGAACCCGAGCTGGTGTCTGCTGCTCTGAGCAAGGACGCCGACTCGGGGTCCTTGGTGCTGGTGCTGTCAGCCGCAGGCTTGCCCCCTGCTGGCCTCACCGCAGCCAGCCGTGAGTCAAGCAGCGGGTCCGCAGAGGAAGAGGAGCTGGGGTCCGTGTGAGGCACCTTCTGATCGTCGTGGGCGTGGAAACGTGAGGGGAGTATACAGAAGGGGTACGGGAGAGAGTGCCAATGGCTACAGGAAGGAGGAGACCACAAGTGAAAAGAAGAGAAGGCGGTGGTTGCAGTGAAAAAGGAGAAAATGATAGATGAAGGAAAGCAAATAGTGTGGAAAAAAGGAAGCGGAGAGAGATGGAGCGGCAGGAGTGAGGGGAACTGTAACAATATGGAGCATCCGGGAGAAGGTACGTACAGTGGGGGTGGAGTAGTGGCCTGAGAGAAGGGAGGAGGCGGAGGAGGAGGCATGAAGGTCCTTGGAGGAGAAGTGGCGCGCCAGGGGCACCACACTCTCACCCACTGGCAGCCCGCGCTCTATGGTCGCCCGCTCTGGTGGGACGCAGGGTTTTGACAGGCAGACGGGCACAGGGGTCGCGATCCAATGAGGGGTGATGCGAGCATGGGATGGGCGGATCCCACTGCTAACCCCACAGGTTGTCCTTTGCATCAACAGCGCGGGTGCGCACCTCTTTGCAGTATCATGTGGCCCTTGACCACCACCCTGCGCCCGTCCACGCCCACATCCTCCCCCTCGCCGTCATCGTCGAAGCGCAGGCGACGCCAGGTGCGGCTGTAGAGGCCGCGGCAGTGCGAGAGGAGGTGCGTGACGGAGTCAAAGAGGCGGTGGTGCACGTTGAGTGCGATGAGCAGCGACCACGCCACCATGCACAGCGGGTACACGCGGTCAAACGACTTGGGCAGCACCCCCATGCGCTGATGTGTGGATGTGTGGGGTGCAAAGGGGCGTGAGGGGAGTGATTAGTGCAAGAACGAACGATCAGCGGGGAGCATGGAGATGAATGAAGTAGCGCAGAGCAGCACGCAGGACATCAATGGGGGAGAATGCATGGTATGAGGGGTGGGGCGGGGTGTGCAGGGCATGAATGGGGGAGAATGCATGGTATGAGGGGCGGGGTGTGCAGGGCATGAATGGGGGAGAATGCATGGTATGAGGGGCGGGGTGTGCAGGGCATGAATGGGGGAGAATGCATGGTATGAGGGGCGGGGTGTGCAGGGCATGAATGGGGGAGAATGCATGGTATGAGGGGCGGGGTGTGCAGGGCATGAATGGGGGAGAATGCATGGCATGAGGGGCGGGGTGTGCAGGGCATGAATGGGGGAGAATGCATGGTATGAGGGGCGGGGTGTGCAGGGCATGAATGGGGGAGAATGCATGGTATGAGGGGCTGGATGTGCGGGGCATGAATGGGGGAGAATGCATGGTATGAGGGGCGGGGCGGGGTGTGCAGGGCATGAATGGGGGAGAATGCATGGTATGAGGGGCGGGGTGTGCAGGGCATGAATGGGGGAGAATGCATGGTATGAGTGGCGGGGTGTGCAGGGCATGAATGGGGGAGAATGCATGGTATGAGGGGCGGGGTGTGCAGGGCATGAATGAGGGAGAATGCATGGTATGAGGGGCGGGGTGTGCAGGGCATGAATGGGGGAGAATGCATGGTATGAGGGGCGGGGTGTGCAGGGCATGAATGGGGGAGAATGCATGGTATGAGGGGCGGGGCGGGGCGTGCAGGGCATGCGGGGGCACCTTTTCAAAGACGGTGATGAGGGGCTCAACAGAGCCAGTGGCATAGTTGTAGTGACGCAGGTGGATGAGACTGAGGAAGTTGTAGCACATGGGGGCGGCATATCGCGACACCATGCTGTGGCAGCACAGAGGCATGAGGGAGGTGTGCGACATTGGGATAGACGAGGGTGAGTGGGAGGAAGCTGAGCCAGAGTGGATAAACAGGCGGATACACAGCATGGTAGGACGACTTGGCAGACAGCTTCTGAGATTAAGACTGCAACGAACGACACGGGCAGGAAAGCACGCGGTTGAAGGTGGTGCAGTGGGGCTTACGAGCAGTTGATGAGGAGCGAGACGGAGTCGGTGTGCGCGGGGACGAGGTAGTAGAAGGAGAACATGCCGAGCTTGAAGAGTGAGAAGTAGGTGCACACGCACAGGTACACCAGCGGCACAAACACTATCAGCTGCACCGCCTCCCCGTGCAGCGCGGCGGCGCGCACGAGCACGGAGAAGAGCGAGAGGTCGACCCACTTCTGAGAGAGAAGGGTGGCCTCGGCAAAGAGGATGGCGAGTGAGATGAGGCCGAGCAGCAGTGCAAAGGCCCGCACCACGTGGCTGCGGATGGCACAGCGCCACCACCACTCTGTGGGGCGGAGGGCGGCCGAGGGGGGGAGATGTGGGAAGGGGGAGAGAGAGATGATGAGATGCGTACAGGTGTTGGACGAGCATGTGGATGATGCAGCACTGTGAACCCTCTGCTGGTACTCCTCATATGATGAGGAGGGTAGTCAGGAGAAAGTGTGGGGATGCGGAGGAAGGAGGAATGTGCGTGTGCATGCAGCACTCCATTGGAGAGTACAAGAGGAGGAAGGCAACGTGCAGGGACTTGAGAGAAGAAGGGCATGCCGAGGTGCACCGCACTTCGGAGTCAACATAGGGTGAACATGACACGGTCTGCTGAGTCACACGACGCACCCACGACATCGAGGAGCGGGGCAAAGAAGCCCTTCCTGGGCGCGCGCAGGTAGGAGGTGTAGCGGCCCGTGCCCTGGTAGCAGTTGTGCAGCGTCTCCTCCAGCTGCAGCGCCTCCCACACCACCGTGCAGTACTCCCTGCCGACCACAAGAGGGGTGTGGGGCGAGGCCATGGGAGGTGTGAAGGACGAAGTGATTGGGGATGTTACGGGCTGCCATGGGGGGTGTGGCCATGAGGTGAGACCATGGGGGGGTTGAGGGGTGAGGCCATGGGGGCAGTGTGATCGTTCTTCTCACTCAACCTCTCCCATCACCTTCCACACCACCACCCTCCTCTGAATCTTTCTCCCACTACCACGTACAATTCCTTCTCAAACACCCCCCCGTCCTTCTCTACTCCATCTCCCCCTTTTCTCACGTCTTGCAGCGCGAGTAGTTGTCCTGGGCGTTGCGCAGGCGGCGCCGGAGAGCAGCCATGCTCTTGGCGTCGGCATCATAGTCCATGTCGTTCTCGCCAATCTGCCCGCCTGACGGCTTGAACCCCGCATCCTCACTCGCCTGCACGCCATGCCACACCAGGGCACAGGGGGACTCACGCGTGTGAGGAGTAGGGGGTGGGGACAAGGCAGAGAGACTGGCGCAGGGGCCTCCAAAAGTGCAGAATGGAGCATGAAAGCAAGGACGGGGCTTATAGAAGGAGGATTCTAGGTGTTGCCTTAATGCATGCTACTGCAAGCCATTACGGCTCCCTTCTGTGGTTTCATCTCTCTTGACATGAAATTCATGTCAATCTGGTGAAGTATTCTGTCAATCAAATGTGATGCCATTGCAATGAACTATGCATGTCATCTCACCATGGCATCGATAATCTCCATCATGGGTCGCAGGGGATCATGTCTGGGCATCTGCAGCGAGGTGGCCTGAGCAATCTGACGTGTACACAGAGTGGGGAGGGGCACGGGAGGAAGAGTCAACAAGGACAGACAATACGCAGCAGGGATGAATGGACCGCAGGGTTTGCGACACAAACAGAACAAGGTATGGCTGCTGCACTGCACTCACCACAATGGCAGTGCTGAGCTCCTGGTGCGCCTGGTCCAGTTTCTGTGCCGCCCGGGCCACGCGCACGGACAGCCACTTGTGACGCTCTGCCAGGTCAGCGTGGCTCCAGAGGCCCCTTGGGATCTCCACCAGCCCGTACCCCAGCAGCAGCGCGCCCGTTATCAGCGCAAACGCGTTCGACGCACCTATGGCCAGCGACACTATGTTGTCCCTGTAAGAGAGGGGAACGGTGTGAGGGTGGGGAAAGAGGAGTCAAGGAAGGGTTGCGTGGACGAGAAGCAAGAGGAGCAAGCGAGGCGAGGGAGGGGGAGGTGGTTGGACGTATGTGAGAACTCACCTCCCACACCTGGCTCTCAGTCAACCCACCTCCCCCCACAAATATATTCTCATGCGTGGCTGGCACACTGACCAGGCCATCTCCTTGGTGGCGAGCAGGATGATAATGCCCACCACGGCCACGGCGCCCACGATGCCGATGAGCATGAGGTTTGTCCTCACACTCGTGCGCAGCCGCTCCTTTGCCGTGAAGTCCCCCGCATCCTCGTAGCCCTGCATGATGGGTATGATCACCCTGGGGTGGTGCAAGGGAGGCAACGTTGATATATCAGACTGCTAGAGATCCATGCACCCTGACAAGTACTGAGTTGACTAAAAGACCCCCAGCATCCTCGTATCCCTGCATCATGGGGATGATCATCCTGGGGTGGTGCAAGGGAGGCAACGTTGATAAATCAGACTGCTAGAGATCCATGCACCCTGACAAGTACTGAGTTGACTAAAAGACCCCCAGCGTCCTCGTATCCCTGCATCATGGGGATGATCATCCTGGGGTGGTGCAAGGGAGGCACTGACGTCAGAATGTTAGGACTCTCACCATCTTAGCAGCAATGAACAATGGGGGATGAGCATCCCAGCAGGTGGGTGGATTGCGAGTGTTGAAGAACAAGAGGAGTGGATGAAAGGAGCGGGACAGGCGAGGAATGGCAACGACTGCAGGTAGCACCAGCAGTCAGCAACCACAATTAGAGAATGGCGGACGTGAGTCCATGATCCGTGGGAGGAGGGAAGGCGAGCAGGCTGACCAGGTGAGGAAGTAGGCGCTCCAGTAGGAGAAGCTCCACATGAACTGCACGGACAGCTTGGACCCGCACACCGCCGCTGACAGCCCCGACGCCATCCCCGTGGGGCCCGCCTCGCCCTCCAGACATATCGCCTGCACGCACCGACCGTAACCACATCGCACCACAGTTAAGCATCGACTGTTAGGGACATCCGTAAAGCACATCCATGCATGCAAGGCACGCATAGAGGAGAGTCACGCATTCGTGTAACACATGCATCGAAAGGCATGCGACAACACACCCATGCAACCATGATACCCATGCAATCATGATACCCATGCAGCCATGACACACATGCATCCATAATACCCAGGCAACAATGACACCCATGCAGCCATGACATCCATGTAGCCACGAAACACGACCATAGCACGCATCAGTCCATGAAAGTTCGCTTGCAAACCATGCAGCGTAGCATTTGACGCGTCTGCCAGGCATGATGCGCATCGACAGACACAGGAGACTGCGAGAACGAGTCAAGCTCCCTGGCTTAAGTCGGGAGCTGCTGTTCCTGGAATTTACGATACTGAGTGGGGAATTCACCTCGGTCGCCTTATCCACAGAATGACCATCAGGAACGAGCCTGATGCTGACTCACCAGTAGAAATCCGCTGTTTCTACGAACTCTTAGCGGTACTAAAAATCCACTACCGATCTTCATGCGACGAACACGAGGTCCAAGTTCTTAAAAAGCCGCGACACGCACCGTCCAGACGTCGACAGGGACGAGGATGACGATGGAGACGTTGACGAACCACGTGTACGCGACGATGATCCGCACGTGCTGCAGCACGCGCGGCGATGCGTAGTATATGAGCGTCCATATCACCATGCCAAGTGTGACCGGCAGCGCGATGGCGTAGAACATCCACATGGTAACTACCCTTTTCAGTCAACTCTAGATGCCTGCGAATGCCCTACTTCTTATACCTAATTCTTACGCTGCTCGCTACAACCACTAGGAAGACATATGGTGGAGCCTTCATGTCTCGACGTACACCATGGTGTACACGTGCCGCTAAGTAGAAGTGATGGCTTGACTTCCAAACAGAATATCCAGTGTCGTGAATCCTCAAACTAAGACGCTACTGCGTACTACGGAGGACCGAAGCTAGTCAGAACCCTAAAAGTACGAACGAACACCTAACAGGATAACAAATTTAGGCCTGCCTACTAAAAGCATGTACTTCTGATGCCACTAGAGCTGCCGTGTTGCTCATGTTCTAGTCTGGAATCAGAACCTGTGCCTGACAGCACTCTGGCTTCTTTTGACCATCAACGCACACTTCTTTCGCCGCTGGCGACGTCGCCTTCTGGTTACAGATTCGCTCCATCTCTCCACATCACATATTGGTGCGCTTCGAGAATGTTTGTCGCACGGGGCATGTAGGACGGTTCGGCGACAGGAGCGGCGTTGTTCAGGCGACAGCAGGGCAGCCTCGAGGTGCAACGTCATTGGTGGGTTCTTGAAGTTAGTTCGGCCATTATCTCCGGTACTCAGATTTTGCCTGAGCGCTTTCTCAGGTGTAATCAACCTGGACTTTCTCAACGTTGACTGGTCGTCGCTTTTTAGTCACATTTCTCACGCTGGTCTAACTCATTAGGAAGTTATAAAAACAATACCATCCAGTCTACCCTCCCGACTTGGATATATGTACGGAAGTTAAAGCTCGCGTCTCAAATTTCCTACCATTTAACACTTGGTTGGGTTTGTGCGTCTGTGATTGGGAGACGAAAAACGAAATATTTGACGAGTGGGTGAAAAAAGCACAGCAAACTCCCAAACAGTCGAGGCCAAAACAAACCAGGGTGGGTTGGTTTGGGTGGTTTCCGAACCAGGGGGGACAGGTTTGGTCCCAGGTTCTGTCAACGTTGAGGTCACAAGTCTCAAATTTCCGAGAGTTGTAAACACTTGGTGTGCGCGGGGAAGTGTGCGACACCCAACTTTCCCAACCCACCCCTTGCTGTGTTGTGTTTTGCGACAAACTTTGCTGTTACCGGAATCCAACCGTTTAACACTTGGTTGGATGGCAGAAATATGAGACGCGAGCTTTAAGGTAGTAAGAGAATGAAGCCCATATAATTCACTTCGTAGTGCTCAGTAGCGCAACCGACCGCTAAACAACGCTACCGAAAGCACTAGACGACGCTACCGAGACCTATTCGGGCATGGCAGTATCAGAATGAGGAATGGTTGTTGCATTGATGTTGATTGGGGTACATATGACAAACCCTAACTTCTGTACCCCCTAAGACAAACCTCACTACAGGCTACAACATTTGACACACCCCCATAGCCTAAGTGAGGGGTGTCTAGCAAAATCAAAAAGAGTACGGTCACAAGACCAGTCCAAAAGAAAACAAAGCTCAGGGTGGATCACAACGTCACCACACACTCTGAGCACAAGCAACAGTGGCCACAAGGCCAGTCCAAGAGATCATAAGTATATATAGCAAGTGTACAGACGAAGCAGGCAATAAACTCAAGTCTACACATGACTAGAACCTGTGTCAACAAGGCCTAACTGCACACAACACCTCTGGTGGTCACAAGGCGGAAGCGCCTTGGTGAAGATGTCTGCAGTGTTGGCCTCGGACTCCACGAACTCGAAGCGAGCCTGTCCACGTCTCTGCAACTCTCGCAGAAGAAAGTACCTGACGTGAATGTGCTTCACTCTGCTCTCCAGTCGCGGCTCACGACAGAGGAGGATCGACGCCTTGTTGTCAGTAAACAAGGTCGGTGCAGAGCTCGGCCGCTCACCAAGGTCGGCGAGCAAGAAGGTCAACCACCGCAACTCCTGTGCCGCCATGGCACCAGCGTAAATCTCAGCCTCAGCTGTAGAGGTCGAGACAGAAGAGGAGCGCGTGGAACGCCAGGAAACAGCTCCAGAACCCAGACTGAAACAGTACCCCTGAGTAGACCTGTGAGTCTCAGCGTCGTCAGCGTAAGAGGAGTCACAGTGACCAGTGAGTACGACAGACTGCTGCCCTCCAAGAACTAGCCCCACGCCTGACGTAGTCGCTAGGTACTTCGCCACCCTCACAACTGCCGTCCAGTGAACAGGACGGTGTCTCCCTGGCGCAACAAAGCGCGCAAGGATGCTGAGAGGGAAGGCGAGGTCCGGGCGAGTACAAGTCATCAGGTACATGAGGCAACCCACAAGCTCTGCGTAGGGACCACTAGGCTCAAACGGCTCGTCAGGAAAGGGACCAGTGAGTCTGTGGTCAACAGCGAGAGGTGTGCGCTGTACGGTGGAGTGCTGAAGCCCGAACCGCTGAAGGACCTGCTGCACCATGTGTGACTGTGAGAGTGTAATGGTGCGAGCGGCTCTGTCCCTGGTGATCTGCAGGCCAAGGTAGTGGCGCAGCTCACCAAGATCAGTGCACGTGTGTCTCTTCTGCAGTTCGGACTTCACGTCTGCCAAAGCAACCCTGTCCGAAGTGGCGAAAACGAGGTCGTCGACGTAGACCAGAACAAAGAACGGTGTGGAGCCACGACGAACGAACAGCGACGGGTCGGCAGAAGACGGCTGGAACCCAAGGTCAGAGAGGGTAGAACGCAGAGTGTCGTGCCACTCACGAGGGGCCTGGCGAAGACCGTAAACAGGTCGCCTCAGCCTCCACTGGGTCCCAGGAGGGAAAGTGCCAGTGAAGGCCGAGGGACGACGCAACCAGACCTCCTCGTGTAGGCTGCCCTAAAGGAAAGCAGTGGAGAAGTCGAGAGAGTGTAACTCGTAGTCTCTCTGTGCTGCTACGTGTAGTAACACCCGAAGAGTGGTCATCTTCGGGGTAGGTGCGAAGGTCTGAAAGAAGTCAACTCCCTCGCGCTGACTGAAACCTCTAGCCACGTAGCGCGCCTTGAAGACCGGGGGAGATCCCGGTGGCCGCTTCACCCTGTAGATCCACATGCCGTCGACTACGCTCGCCCAAGGGGGGGGAACCTCATCGACGTAGGTGCCTGTGGATTCGTAGGAGGCCATCTCTGCGTCCATGGCAGCTCTCCACTGAGAGGCCCAAGGCCCTGACACTGCCTCAGCGTAAGTGCGAGGAGTCGGAATGTCAAGGGCGTCGGGGTCACCCTCAGGGGCGAGGAGCATGGCACAGAGATGAAGGGAAGCGGCCGCCAAGAACTCTAGCTCAAACTGCCTGTCCTCTAGGGCGTCACAGCCAAGGGCAGACACACCCCCGACGGCCAGAGGACTGGTAGGAGGAGCAGCAACAAGCGTGGTGGCGTAGTCAAGGCGGCGGGTAGCGGCAAAGTCAGTAACCGCGGCAGTAAGAGCAGACACAGAGGACACAGAGGCACGAGGGTGAGTAATAAGAGAGGCGAGAACACGAGAGAGAACAGGACGGTACGTGCGGTAGTAGTCAGTGACAGGAGCAGGGAGCGACACGGTGAGGGCCGACTCAGGAGGAGACGGAAGCAGAGACTGAGACGGACGAGGTGGACTGGAACAAAGTAAGGCAGTACGAAGGTCAGTGAAGGGAATAGGAGACGAGGGACGAGCACGAGGGGAGCGACGAGTAGCCCAAGAACGAGACGGAGGAGGAGAGGACAAAGGCGGAGAACTAGAGAAAACAGCGGGGGAGGAGTCAGGCGGAGGAAACGTGGGACCGTAGACAGGAGGAGAGGCGGAGGAGGGAGGAGAAGGGGAGGGGAGACCAAGGGCCCGAAGACCCGAGACAGGAGGAGGAAGTGGCTGCTGCTGCTGCTGCTGCGACTGCTGCTGCTGCGGACGCGGCTGCTGCTGGGACTGCTGCTCCTGCGGGTCCAGCTGCTGCTGCTGCTCCGCCAACCGCTGTAACTCCCTCTCCTCTCTCTCCAACTCCAGCTGCTCGTCACGCGCACGGCGAACACGAGCCTGGTGCCTAGTCGGGTAGGGGTGGGGGGGCGGAGTAGTGTCCGAAGCAGCGGCAGCTCCAGAATCAACCCCCGAAGAACCAGGCGCACCACCCCCAGAGGCAGCACTAACACCAACTCCAGACCCAGGCGCACCAGAACCCGAAGCAGGCGCACCCTCACCCCCAGAGGGAGCACCCCCAGAGTCCGCGCGGCCAGCACCGGCTCCCGGACGACAAGGGTCCTCTGCACCCACCGGGTCAGCTCCAACTCCAGAACCAAAAACTCCAGCTCCAACTCCAGCACCCCCAGAACCAGAAACTCCAGTGCCTACTCCAGCTCCACCTCCAGCTCCAACACCAGCTCCAACTCCAGCACCCCCAGAACCAGAAACCGGTACAGGAACAGGCGCAGCACCAACCTCTCGAGAGCTAGCACCAGTGGCACGCTGCGAGGAGGACTGTGGGGAGGGAGGCTGTACCGGAGGGGCTACCGAAGGAGGAGGGGTAGCCTGGGACACACCTGACGGGGCTGGGCCAGGGGGGGGAGGCTGTACCGGGGGAGCAGGAGGGGGAGCGGCAGTCAGGAAGAGGGGGGGAGGAGGAACCGGGAGACCTCGACTGGGGTACCTGACGTAGTACGGAGTGGACTCCTCGAAACGGACGTCACGGGAGTCAAAGAACCGGTGAGAGGGAGGGTGGTAAAAGGTGAAGTCAGAGGAGTCCTCAGGGAAACCAAGGAAGACACAGGGGACGGCACGAGGCGAGAGCTTGTCCGCGGAGGTGTCGCGGACAAGAGCCAAGCACCCCCAGACACGAAACCGCAACGCAACACCAGGGGACCCTGCCCAAAGACTGGTCGGTGAAACCTCTGGTCGAGAGACACGTGGCCAGAGGTTCAGCTGGTGCGCGGCGTACCTGACCGCGTAGGGCCACAGAAAATGGGGGGCACAGGCGTGAGTCAGGGAGGTGCGGGCGATCTCCATGACCAGG